ATAAAAATAAAAAACGCCACTGATACCAAAACTTGAGCTTGTAACCCTATATCCCATTGGGAACGTGAAGAAATAAAATTAAAACAAAAGCTATATTGGTGATTTGTATGAATAATAGTGATTCAAAGAGTCCATAAGAAAGATCCAGTAGTTAATAAAAGATAACAGGCAAAGTTAAACTTTCGACACCACTAACAACCAATCAGCAAACGATCTCGAACGGACCAATCACATTAAAGAGGCATATATGATGAATGGAAATGTATATTTATAGAAAAAAGCATAAAATAGATAATAAAAAAGGTTACATGGGATATCTTTCTCGAACATGTGAGAGAAAAATCTCCCAGTGTAGCATGGGACTGTCAATGGAGAAGTTACACCATATGCTGTACATATTTTCATCCATAATGACCAAAAATAAAAAAAAAAAAATGAGATCCTTTTGAGGTACGTTTATAGCCCTTATCCTATTTTCCAACCTGCCCCAAAATCCTTCATTAGAATTTGTATGTGTCCTCGTAACGGGATCCACAACATCACTTGAATGGTTGTCTCTACGATGAATATATCCCAGAGATGACAGCGAATTGTAGCCTTTCCGTGTGTATAATTGACCCCCGCTTAACAATTCTGGTAACAATAGGTATAAGAGTAGTTGCTTTTCTATCTGCTATCCTTAGGGAGAGAAGCGACCTAGCGAATAAAGTTCCTACGAAATAATAAAATTATCAGCATACCCTCTCTAGTGTTAGTAGGCTTCAAACATATAGCACAACGATGAACAAACCCATCGGTTGATTTGGTTTAGCTTTTTAAAGTCATGATACCACCATACAATCAAATTCGTTCTTTCCGGAGCAACTGAAATCTAGGAAATACTGGGAAACACTAACCTCCTCGAATTGCAACAACAGCCTTGTAAGGTCACGCATTAGAAATGAATCAGGCGCTATACAACATTGAACTGCGCTCGTGAACCTCATTGGATGATTCGACATCGTTCGTGAATCTCATTGGATAATTCGCTGATTGGTAGTTAGTGGTGTCGAAAGTTTAACTTCGCCAGATAACAGTTATTTGCCGAGATCTATATTTAACATTCGGTTGAATAGACAGCCGGGAGTGAACCCCAACATCTGACTCGAAGTACTGTTATACGGTTACGTGTTCAAAAGTCTCTTCCAAGTAATTTCTGTTCTTGTGATACAATGGATGGGGAACTGGGGCGACTAAGACAAGTCGTCATAGAGAATGGATATCCTCCAAGATTTATCGAGAAAAAAATGAAGTTAAGGGAAAAGCCTGAAAGAACCCTGACGGTGATGAAGAAACTGCTATTTATGAGTGTTGAATTTAAAGGTGATAACGCAGCTGAGATCGTGAAGAACCGCTTATGCAGATCAGTGAGGAAAGCCTTCTTTATGGCTGAGCTACGTATCAATTTCTACAGCTGACAAATGATGAATGGATATGTGAAGGATAAACTGCCGCTTTGGGCCACCTCAATGTGTGTTTATCAATTCACCTGCTCGTTTGGAGCTAGTTATATTGGCCCCACAATTCTCAAGCATTTCGTGAACTCAGGCCACGTAGCCCCACCAGAGTCGTCTTTCAAGACCATCTACAAGGTGAAGCCAAATGGTACAAAGGGTGTCAGGTTTCGCCTTTTGTGTATGGCGGAGGCGCTGGTAATTTATCAATACAACCCTGAACTCTGTATACAGAAACATTTTGTCCAGTCTCTTATTCTACCTTGATCTTAACCTCTTCCACTAATCGTTCCCTGTAAAAACATTTTTTTCTTTTCTTTTTTGTTTTTAATTTTGCTTTTAGTTTGCTTTTGCTTTAATAATTAATTCACTATTATCACTCTCATATGCTCCTTCTGTACACTTCACACCTTCTTCACACTTGGTAAATTGACACTCAAATACCTATATTCTCACTAAGTAGCAATTTTAACCTTATCTAATTTCTGTTTGCCATCTTCCTATGGCGATTCCCACTGGCTTATGTATTGAAGATCAAAGTGAGTCAGCTTGAATAACTTCAACCTCTACAAGCTCAAATAGCACATTTTACGTCCGCTTATCTGTGAGTACTGTGGCACTGATGTTATGTCAGGCGTTAAAGCTGGAAGTGAGTTACTGCTCTGAATACGCATTAGTAATCATTTATTTTCTGTTAGCACAGAAAACTAAATTCGATTAAGAAGTAACTAAGCATAATCAAATTAGCCCATGGTCACTTATGTCTACCTATTGGCAGCGAATTAATCCGGATGCAACTAAGAAAAACGTCCGGTCATCAAGTGAGTGATAAATCAAATTAAATAAGCTTGATAGATATCGTAATACTACTTTGAAACCTGAATCCTGGTTGGACGTTTAGCCTCAGAGAAGAATCATTTAGATGAACAGTTGAATTATATAGTCACAGGTTAGATATTGGAAACTGTCTCCTTCATATTTGTGTAGATCATGACCTATTCCTATCCAACACCAAATTCCAGAAAAGTTATTGCTGTTGCGTTACCTAGTGTTCTCTGTCACTCAAGTCTGGGCTTAAACATGTTACACTTCTATTAGCTAAAGGGGCAATGGAAGTATGAGGGACTGTTATTGTTGTTTGATTGCTTATCTCAGTATCATCCTAAACAGGCTGATGCAAGAATGCTCACCTCAGTAATACGCAGCTAAATATCACAGATATTTAGATGGACCGCTAGGTTCTGGATCTAATGGAATCATAGACAAACACTGGCATTAATTACAAGGCATTACATAGAATTCCCTACTGATTAAAACTGAATTCCAAAACGTTCCTTATTTTTTTTATTTACTATCGACGACTTTCTGAAAACACCTCTTATGTTTACGAGTGGTGATATTAATCTTATAATTGTGAAAAGACCTTTTGACCTCCCGTATGCAAGCAATATCGTCTTTCTGTATGACAGAAAAGCGGCTACCCAAATTACCACTAATTCTTTAACCACCAGTCTCTGTTAGTATTACTGAGTTTCGTTTCAAGAAGCCACTTCTCACAATAACCCTCCTTAGTAAACTGTTAGACATTGTTGGAAAGTCCGTATATCTTAATATTTGCACAACTGATAGCAGAAGTATGATTAGTAAAATTTACACTGGTATAATGAAGCTCTGGATCACTTCTGGAGATATTACAATACTAGTCTGGTCGTCAAAGGTTGAGTCCGCAGTTTTTCGCAGTGTTCAGTCCCTTCTTCTCTGTAAAATCTAGTCTCATCTTTCTGATTATGTGTGTTGGCCCTGTGAAACTGATAATTTTCGTCTTGAATTGTGATACAACGTAAGTCACTCCGAGGTCCATAAAAGTGTGTATTTTTAAAGAGGGGAGACTTTTTTCATTAGGGACATCATCTCCGGATACAAGCTTCAGTAGCTTGAACATGGGTTACGAGTGTCACCCTAACAAATTTGATAGCCCTCACTGTTTCCTATGTTTCAGATTGATTGAAAAAAGTTCAAAGATGGTCAGTTTATGACGTATTATCATTGGGTAAAAATGTTTACAGCATATTTTATTCTACTTCCTCCATTTATCAAATCTCTCTGTTCAACACACTATTGTTCAGGTATTCTGCATGGTCCTTTTATTGGTGCCCATATTATTCCACGTTTATCTTCAGACAAATAAATAAATCAGCTTTTCAATTATTGGTTTTGTAGGAATTTTGTTTGATTGGTTGGAGGGTTTCATCATGAGCTGGCACCGGTTAGAGAACCATTGAAAAACCTGGGTGTACTGGATAGCCGGCTGTTTCGTCAACCTAGTCTGGGAGTCTTCATCAGTACGCACACACCACAGGGATTCGAACCCGGAACCTTCTGGTTACAAGGCGAGTTTGTATACCATTAAACCACTAGGACCCGATCCAATGGCCCATGAATTCTAACTTCTTCCAATTCATGACAAAGCGTGATCACTTCTCGCCTTGTAACCAGAAGGTTCTGGGTTCGAACTCCTCCGGTGGGTGCATACTGATGAAGAGTCCCAGATTGGGTTGATGAGACAGCTTTCCAATACTCCCAGCTGGTTTTCCATGATGAAACCTTCCAACCAAATAAATCAGCCTAAAGCATTTCTCCAAATAATAAAACATTCTTTTTTGCGGAATCTAACGTTATGCATCAGAAGAAACAGCTGAGTAAACTAAAATGTTTAATTTCACATGACTTCAGATTGAATACCTAGTTAATTTTGGAATTCTTGAATACGTATAAATGATTTCTATATTCTGAGTATTTGCATTACTCCATTTATGAACAAAGTAAAAAATTCACCCAAAAAGAGAATTACACACGGTTCGTAGGCTCGAATCTTACAACAGAAATGAATGAATTCCACATGTTAGTGTTTTGAAAAAGCAGTTTTACACTAAAATTCACAACTTTTAATAAAAAAAAATCAAATTCTGCAAGAATAACTCATAATTGTAAAAAATAGTCTATATATATATATATAATATAAAGTAAACGTCTTATATATATGTATGCAAAATAGATCTATTAAACATGATGTCAATTGTGAATCTACTTTTCAATGGGAATATTGGAACAATAGGGATTTAATTGACGTAACTCATAAATAATGAACGCCTAACAGATTCAATTGCGTCTTAACGTGTCTACTTACATGACTACATTATAAAAGATAGTAATGTTGATGATATTTATTGCAAGAAAACGTGTCACTTTACTGCAATTTCTCTTTACAGTTTACTTATAACCAAATCAATCAAATGTAACTCTGATCAATATACATATCTCGGCACAAAATAAATGATGGGATATTATAGAAAATAAGTGGTTATAAAATAATTGTGCAAAAATGATAATTTAATTACAAATATACGGTGATTATATATATATATATATATATATATATATATATATATATAACTTCCTAACAGATGGAAACATGTGAAAATACAAGCGCGCTTTAAATAAGGTAAATCATACAACTTGTGTATACTTCAGATAAGCATCCCTAGCCATTTTAGATAGCTTACGAGACTCTTCTTGGCCTGTTCCACGAACTAGTTTAGCAAATGGACCAGTACCAATGATAGGCAAGTCTTCATCATCCATAGATTCTATATCTGTTATATCACCTTCACCTTGTTTAGTATGTAGCAAGATATGCGGGGCACCAGTTTCTATGATTTCACCATTTTCCAGAACAACTATGACATCATTTTCAATTATTGTTTGAAGTCGATGAGTTATTGTTAACACTGTACATGTGGAAAATTGTTTTCTTAAAGTTTCTTGAATAAGTGAATCTGTTCTGAAAATAGAAGTTTTTTAAAAAACATTATTTAATAACTCAGTATTTTGTAATACTACTACTACTAATAATAATAATCATTTCGCTTTTATTCCAGAAACAGTACTAGTAGTACAGTGTGGAATTTTCAGCACATATCTACAATATTATATCTAATTTCATTGCACATTTAAAAGGAGTATTTCAAAAAATGAATATAAAAAAAAAAAAACAAAAAACACAAAAAGAACAAAAAAATGCAAATAAAAATACCAAGTAGAAAGGAAGATAAACAACAATAATAAATAATATTTCAGTATTAGGTAGTGGAAGCTATGATATGTGCATGCGTGGTGAACAGTAACATCTATAATCATACAACAAGTTATGAAATGTTCTTAAGAATCTTTATAGCCAAGATGATCAGTTAATTTGATTGAACTACACTAAACAATCATTAAATAAACATTTCAGGTTGTTTTTTTTTATTGTCAGCACTAATGCGGTGTTTGTTGTGGTAGTGTATGTAATCATGCATAATACAAACATTTTAGGATGGTGATAACGGCGTTCACAACGAAGATTGTCAGTTTAATATTGGCGAACAAAAAAAACAATCACAAAACTAATATTACATGAAGGTTATTGGCAGGATAATTTTGTAATACTCATAGTGATAATATAGTCGGGACCAGTAGATACACAAAAGAGGGAATAGAGTAAAGTACAAAAAAAAGTAAGCCAATGTTAGTAATTTAGGTAGCTAAGTATGTTTAAGAAGGTTGTTCAATATAGAATACAAATAAGAGAGAATTAAAAGCGCTAAAATTATGTTATTAATAAAAAAGCAAGTCATAGGTTTCGTGCTTAACATTGTCTTTCTCACTTACAACACGGGCCAAATATGGTATCGTTGAGTTCCTATACTTAGTTGTACGAGCATATATTGTACTGATTTCTGGTTCTACCTGATGAGATACAAGGAGAGAGTTGAGAATAGAGGGAGTGTTTGTGGTAGAAGAGTATGGTTCTAGACCATTTTTCGCATGTATTCAGATGCCTTTCTACTAATGTAGTGACGAGCTGACTGAGTTTTACACCACTAGTCCTACTAACTACCTTCAACATCCCTCTCAGGATGGTATAGTCCTTTTTCAGTAGCTCACGGGGAATAGTAAAGTAGAATAGGTAAGTTAAAGTAATATTTCATATTATTTATTACCTGGAATCCACATTTGCTGTTACTTCATCCACTAAGACGATACGATTATCATCGAGAATAGCACGTGCCAAAGACAATAGTTGACGTTCACCTGTACTAAAATTTGATCCTCCTTCATCCATTAAAGTATCAAGACCTTTATCCATACTTGAAATAGTCTTCTCTAGTTGTACCTAAATAAACCATCAGAGATTAGAGTATATAATAAGTCATTCATCTTAAGAAAAGTTGTACATCAGTTAATAGTTCAAGTCATGAAAAAAATGATTACAGAGAGTTATACTTCTTAAACGAAAAGTAATAGATTCATTACAAAACTTAAGAAGAAGGATCACTTGGAATGTAACACTAGAACCATAATCCAACATACTTACACTACTTTAGGAATAAATAAAAATTTGTCATTCCTTGCTTCATTTTGACAGCTGAACTTGAAAGAGCGTTTTTTACAATAATATCGCTCAAAAAGCAGAACAATTACCAAAAACCATATTGGATGAGGCCAAAGAATGACTCATCACAGCTGTATAATAACACATAGTTAGCTATGTGTGTGTGCAGCAGATGGATAAAAATGATTCCAACTTCCGATACTTCTTATCTGTCTTTGATCCAGCCACAGTCCACAGTGTTTTCAGTCACATGTTGGTTAATGAAATTTATCGTATAATGAAAAGGTGAATAACAAAGTTACCGTATTTATTTCCATGTGAATGTGTCGTTCCTGTGCACACTTCACTCAGGTGATCCATCTCGACTACTCTGAACTTCATTTTTTAAACGTGAGTGTAGGTAAACGGTTCGAATCTTAGAAAGGACATGAGTTCATTCAAGGTTGTAGATACGCCTTGCTGACCGATGAGTGCCAACTAGCACGAAACCTAGGTCCAAGGCTTCCTGTGACTGATTGACTCCGACCATCTAATATCATCAAATCAGTGTGCACCGTGATGGCGAGCTACCTAGAATGGTGGCCACATTGCTAATCTGACTGAGAGAATTCAGTCTGCCCCAAAGAAAGGACTAGGCACATCACACTAGTTACTAGTGTCCAATCAAAATAAATGGTATATTTCATTCAATTTCATTAGTATTTCATTTACATCCGCCTTTTTATCAGTAGTGGTAAGGGTGACAGCAATTTACGTGTAATACCTATTCAACTTACTGATAAAATATCTTAGTGATTCGTTTTTAAGTCTGCTAGAAGCATGCTTGATGGTTGGTTTGTGGCTATCCCATCCACTCGTTTATGAAATATACTGCCGTAGAAAAAAATGTATATTCACTGAAAATGTATGGAGGCCAGACTGAGGAATTTCACTATCAAATCGTATTTCAGTGATCAGTTAACATACGTGTCAATATATCTAATTAATCCTCAAGAATTAGTTTTTAGGGATTCTATTCATTTAAGTTTAGACCACTGATTGGTATCCGTTAAAAAACCATTGAAAACCAGCAGGGAGTACTGGACAGCTGTTTCGTCCTAGTTTGAGACTCATTGGCAGTATGCACCCACTCGATTTCGAACCCAAGACCTTCCAGTTATAAGGCAGGCGGCTCGTATACTATTCGGCCACAGGTAGCTGATTTAGTGGTCAGCTCATGAACTCTAACTTCTACCAAATCGTGATATTTAGCTCGACTAACAATTAGCGTCATCGGTGGGAACTCCATCTACACTCCCGACTAGATGGACCACACAGGTCATGACTTTTCACTAGAACTCCAGGCAACTTAGTCCTGAAGCCAGTCACTAGCGAGCAACAGATTAATTTTCAAGAATTAGCCTGTAGGGATTCTATTTGTTTCATGTTAGACCAGGGATTGATATCAGTTGGAAAACCAATGGACACCATATTACTCTTCCATAATACGGAGAACTATTCGTTACTAAAACTAAAAGGAAGTCGCAGTTTGTTTATTTATAGTATTACACCAGTATTATGTTATTCACCGTCGTTTTCACTGAGCTATATGTGGTTGTAGAACTTTTTCCCACTTAGCTGTAATAACAAGATAGCGTCAGTCATTGATTTTTCCGGAAAATACACTTAGCTAAACAATGGTTCTATTTACCAATAAATTCTGCTTATAGTAGTGATCACGGCTAAGACAAAGAGTAGACACTAAGTCCGACAATATCGTTTTCAAAAATGCCTACTGAACACCAAAACAAACAAACGACTAGTTTCTCCTTTTCTGTTAGTATTTGAAGATCAATCCAGATACTGGTAATAGTGTGAATAATCTGAAGGCGTTCAGAAATATCACCAGACATAAGAAACCTAACCTGCCCAGTTTTGTTGGGGCGATCTTCATCAGACAGTTAGAACAAAGTCTATGTACGCACAGACACATAGTGCTGACTTTTCTCACTACCTAGTGTGTTTAAATATACAAAACGAAGTTATACAAATATATTACGTCGTGTATTTCTTGTCTTTTCTGTTCTGTTCAAGAATTCGTATTGCTTCATCCGAATATTATTCAGCTTACCCTTTCTGTTATTTTATAAAACATATTCCATGTGGTTAGGCAACCTATTTTGTTGACATACTCTTTCTAGTTAAACATTGTTTCTACCCAAAATTTTGAACTCTATCTTTTTTCAAGAATATTCGTCTAATTGTCTATCCTTTTAAGCTCTTAATAATTTAACAACTTACATCATTCTTGACTTATGGGACTTTAGTTGTTATCAACTACCGTTCGTCTTCGTGGAAAAAGTAAATTTCAAAAGCGTTTTTAATTTATATTTTAGTACTATTCGCGTTGTAGCCATCTGAGAAGAGTTTCAGATAATAATACGAAGTGAGCTCATATCATTGTGATGTACTTGTCACTACTGCCTCTCAAAACATAAAATGATCACACTTTCATCAGTTTATTATAGAACATGGAAGTGACGAAAAGTTTCACTTCCTTGACACTGCCATGCAGCGTCTAGAAGATGGTAGTCTCCAGAAGTCAATTTATCGAAAGCCTACTTGGAAAGGACAATACTTACATTTTAATGGCTTTTGTCCAAACAGCTTTAAACGTGGACCAGTCAAGAATCTGTACAATAGAGCAAGGAGAATATGCTCTAAAGAGAAATTAGAGGAAGCATTTGAGTTTCTTGAAAAGATACCGAAGAGCAATGGTTACCCTCAAAGGTTTATCAACAAGTATGGGTAAAAAGCCAATATACATTCAGCTTGATTATAAAGGTGAAAATATTGCAGCAATGATCAACAGAAGGCTCAGTACATCACTAGCCATAGCCTATCCTGCAGCTAAGCTCGTCTCTGTCTATCGAACAACTTGCTCTTTATTGCAGTCAAAAATCGACAGATATCCTTCTTATGTTAACTTCAACTGTATATACAAATTTACATGTATCTTCGGTAGCAGTTATATTGGAAGGATAGAAAGAAGGGCATATCTCCGATTTTCTGAACATGTACCATAAAGCTTACGTCTAGAGGGAACTAATGCTTTAAATAGTGTCATCGCCAGGCATCTCCTCGACACGGGTCATGAGGTGGACGTAGAAAAGTCGTTCAAAATTATCAGTAGACGAAAGAGCTCAATTCTCCTCAAGTTCGCTGAAGCCATTTCCATCAAGCACCTGAAACCTGATTTATGCGTCCAGAAAGAAGCGGTTATCAGCCTTCCTTTACACTGCCTGGTAACTGGATATTTTTCATCTCTCTTTCATCTGAATGCGAAATGCTGAAAAGTTTCCATTGGGCATGATTATTATTGTTCGGAATAGTGTTTAATATTGCATATCTATATATGTATATATTTATAGTGTATGCGTATATTGATCGATTGATTTTTTTTTAAATGAACTCTGTGCAAGTATGTCAAAATTGTTTTTGTAGATATATTTAATAATATCTTTGCCATGTAAACAGCTGACGAGAAGGCAACGAAATAAAAGATGGTACCAATTTATTCTGCAAAAACTGTAGTTCTTGCTTTGTTGAAATTCATTAAGGGGAACAAATGTATGAAATTTCATCAGTTAGTTATCACTAAAATACTAATGATAAGTTTACCAAAGTTTCATTTGAAGGTCAAAAGATAACCTTAAAACTATTTACATAATAACTTCCTGATAAAACACCTCTAAATCTATCATAGATAAAAAATTTTTTCATAAAGCTACACAATCTTCAATAGTATTTTTTACCAATGACGTTTCAACGACAATTTATTGCTGCTCATAACCACATCAAGGTACTCACGCAACTTTCCAACTCCGTTTATTAAACAGGAATAAAATTGATTTGACATAAGAAAAAAGTCAATGAAAGTTCAATAGGCATTTGTGAAACCGAAAGGAAGATAAAGTAATATTCGGAAGCAACATTAATGTTATCAGTAAATATGATAGGATGAGAATTAAAACGACTGTAAAAATGAAACGATAGGAAGAGGATAAACTGAACAATAGCATTTATAAAAATAGCCAACGCATTCTAATGGATATTTAGACGTCAATTCATCTCATATGTTGTATGTAAAAGCAGTCTTAGTTAAGTGTTTGACAAACTGAGCAATAGCACTAAGATGTACAAAAGAGACCAAAATGAAGAAATGAAACAGATAGAAGCGTTTGTAATAAATAACTGTCCCATAAAATTCATTACGAAGATTAGAAAAGGTCAAAAGTAGAATAAAAGTGTTGGTGAAACTAGCAATGATAACATAAATAAGAGAGAATATAAAGCATCTACTGTTAAACCAAATAAAGAGGGGACATCTGAGACCAAACGTAGGGATTTTCAATAAAGCAGGAATTGAGGTGGCACTGAAACCTACAAACTCACTTACAGACAAGCTCTGTAGGTTAAAAAGCCCGGTGGACCCAATTAAACAAAGTAATATAACTTTCAAGATACATTGCAATGACTGTGAGTTAATTCAACTACATAGGTCAAACTAGTTGATCAGGAGTAGTCAGATTATCAGAACATAAGAATTTAGCTCAGGTTAGAATGATTGACGCCGCGACGATAAGTAATTTAAAAAACAAAACCCAGCAATTGCACTTCATGCATTAACACACAACCATACAATATTATGGGACAGAGTTAAAATTCTAAAAAGTAATATAAGTAGTTGAAAAGCGTGAGAGATTAGTTCAGAATCATGGATCATCGAGTCTACACCCAACACATGCGATAGAAGTGACTGACTCAACACAAATACCGGAGATATGGAAGATATTATTACCAGTCAAATCGGAAAAATAATAAATACTGTTAAAATGTATTCAATTCATATTCTAACATTCTAACAAGTTATTTATTTCACTATAAGAACATCGTATTTTTCATAACATTAATATTATTATTTCCAAATGTACTTTATCTTATACTGATTATATTCAAATGTCTAATCATCAGTTTTACTCATGTATATAAATGAAGCAAGAAAATTATGTGAGTGAGTACCTTGATATGTTTATGAGCAACAAATTGTGGTCGAAACGTCATCAGTAAATATTATTGTATAACGCTGAGTATGACTTTATCAAAATAAAATTTTATTCATAATGGGATTATACTCTACCACAGTGCCCGAAATTGTATCCTTATATCTCTAACTGTGATATTTTACTGAATACTGGGCCATTTCAACTATGCTAATTTTGAGGTGAATGATAGAGTTTAAATTCGACAATTTTAACTTTGGATTTCAGTATATTTTTTTGTATGAAACGATCTTTCTTTTTTTAAGAAGAATATATATTTCAACACTTCGAATTTGCCACCATAATTAATAGCTTCCGTTTTACCCAAGCAAGAAGGAAGATTCACTAGTCCTCCTCTTTGTTCAAACTCTGAACACCACTGATCCTGCCGGAAAATGTTTCTTATTTGTTTAAAAAAATGATTTATACTTTCAAAGTTTCCGGTATCTTATATCTCGAGTAGAAAGAAATGTGAGGAAACCAACAATTTAGCTGAACACTGCAATCAAAATTCCCAATTGTCATGATAAATAACAATTAATAACAACAAGTTGAACAACTTAAGACAAACGATAAATTAATAAATCACAAATTGAAATCATCCACAAAAAGTCATGAAATACAAAGATGGGTAAAACTACTGCAAACATTTAAAATGTCATTTCCTTTTTCAATTAGCTTTTTCTCTACTTACTGAGGATAATGCATTCCAAATTCTTGTATCACTATGCTCTCCACGTGGATCAAGATTCATACGTATAGAACCAGCAAACATCATGGGATCCTATTTGAAATTGTGAAACGTTAAACATGAAAATGATTTAACTTTGAACCAAGTAATGGAAAAACGTCATTCTGTTTATACGCCAGTTGAGAGGGTTGGACATGCATACCAACTGGCTAGAAATGATTAAAAAAACCAAAATTTGTAGCTCAATCACAATATACTACTGTGTATTCTCCCGCCACGTCTTCTTTGAGAAAGAACATTTTGAGATTACAACTTGATGGATAAGTTGCTTTTTATTTGTGGGAGACAAAACTAAAATTATTTTTTCTTTTGATTACAGTGTTTAGTCAACTTCTACATATTTCATCGCTCAGCATACAACGTATCAGAATAATACATTTTTGTGTAATAACATATCAGAAGCGGTAGGTTTTCGTGCATTATTTCTGGCGTGTCATTACACTTATCTTATCAAGAATGGTTTTCAGTAGATATCACTATAAAATTTTTCAACATGTTGATGTATTCATAAATCATATTTCATACAGCACTATTACATAGAAATTACGTCAAGTGTACTTAGGTGCTAATGGTAAACTTGTTATTGAAGAATATTTTCTTAGTAAAAGGTGGTCTGAAAATATTATATTATTACTATTTCCTTTAATTCCTAGAGGAACATAGGGCTTCACCCGCGCGTCTCCATTGTGTTCGGTTCTCTGCTAGCCTTTTCACCTGGCTCCAAGTCTGCCTACATGCTTTCATCTCCTCCTCACATGACCTCCTCCAAGTCACCCTCGCACTGACGACCAACTCGCCGCTTCCCTTTCGGGTTTCACTCGAGCACTGGCTTGTCTAGTGATGTCACTTGATGGTTTCCTCAGAGTATGGCCAATCCATCTCCATTTCTTCCTGCTTATTTGTTACACAGTCAGGTCTTGTTGGGTTGGTTCACTTCCAGAGATCCCGGTTGCTGATCTTTTCCAGCCGGCCGTCTGATCCTGAGTATTGAGCGAAGACAATTGTTAATAAAGGTCTGTAGTTTGTTTGAGGTGCTCTTTATGACGCACCAAGCCTCTGATCCGTATAGCTAGTAGCACTGACTTCACATTGGAGTTGAAAATCCGGATTTTTATTTTTCATGCTCAGTGCTGTTGACCTCCACACACAGGTGGCCTGAAAATATAGATGTCTAAAATTCTCTCTTATTTGTATAATCGCTACTCGTTTCACTAAAATAATAATAATGATTACCATTATTACTATTATAACAGTGAAACTAGCAGTGATAACGATAATACTCATCTTATTTACTGATAACACTCGTCTTATTTTCAATCTTACTGCATTCACACTTCCTAATCTCCAAGGGTGACATGCAGGAGATCGTGTGAAGAGGAATTGAAACAGTATGGACTAACATGGATGCAGGTGAAAAGTACAGCAGAACACAGAAGCAAGTGGAGACGTGCAGTTGAAGCCCTATGTTCCACTAGGAACCTAAGGGAACAATAAATAAATAATAATAAATAAATGTATTTCATCTTCCTATGATCTTTTTCACGTGTGTCTGTTAAAATTTGCATTCACCTTTATTTGTTCATTGGTATGTCTAATCATCAGTTTGTCACTCATGTATAGAAAACGAAGCTGGAAATTTGTGTGAGTACCTTGATATTGATTGTGTACACTAAATTGTGCTCGAAACGTAATCAGTAAATAGTACTTACTGTATAAAACTGTGTGATTTTATCAAAATCAATTTTATCCAGTATGGAAATATATTCTACCACAAAAAGCTCTGGTCTTTTTCTTAAAGTACAATAAAGATTATCAAGCGATACACTTATAAATAACGTGCATGGAAAATTCAGATAAGTTTTCTTTTATGTATATAAGAACTTGAGTTGAAGACGCTGTCTAGATGGAGAACGAAAGCGTAGCAATAAAATCACCCAGCTGAGTGGACGTACCTATATAAAAATCATCTACCTGAGCTTCAAATCTACCGTATTAGTTCAATTATTATTATTGTTCCCTTGGGTTCCTAGTGGAACATAGGGCTTCAACTGCACGTCTCAACTTGCTTCTGTCTTCCTTCTGCTGTACTTTTACCTGCATCCATGTTAGTCCATACTGTTTCAACTCCTCTTCACACGATCTCCTCCATGTCACCCTTACACTGACGTCCCACTCGCCGCTTCCCTTTCGGGTTCCACTAGAGCAATGGCCTGACGCACACGCGATGTCACACAGTGGCCTCCTCAGTGAGTGTTCAATCCATCTCCACTTTCTCCTGCATATTTGTTGGTTGGCAATTGGTTCTTGTTTTGTTTGTTCCCAGTCATAGTTTCTTGTTGGTGATTCTTTCCGGCCCGGCCCGGCCATCTGATCTTCCGTATAGATCCAGCGAAGACAGTTGTTGGTGGATAAAAGTCTGCAACAGGCTGTTGGAAATATTCTTTGTGACCCGGCCGCCAAGTTTCCGACCCGTATAGAAGAGCTGACTGACTTGACGTTTGTTTTGAAAATCCGACCGAATTTTGTCGTTGATGCTGGCTGAGTGACTAAGATTTCCAGATTGGTTGTTCCAGATTGATAAATGTGTTTCTCGCCTTCCCGATTCTCCCTCCATTTGACATCCTCGTCCATTCGAACTGCCTGTAGTTGAGACAATGTTCAATAGCACTGATAAAACAATATAGTGATGTAAATACACGTGGTATAGAGATTTCTCGACATCTTAATCCCACACAATGGATATGAGAAGTCTAAATGTAACCGGTCTAACACTGATTTGTTTAATAATGAGGAAACTTTTATTTTTCCCTACAGCTATTGTGAAAAAAACCTTTCTAAAATAATTTGAATGATACACCACAACAGATTTTACTTTTAAATGTTGAAAATACATTTTTTTCAAAGAGAAACTAAACAACGTACTTGTGGAATAACAGAAATATGTTTCCTCAGTTCTTCTAATTTCACTTTCTTGATATCAACATCATCTATTAATATCTTGCCTTGTTCTCCTGTTACTAGTCGAAGAATACAAGAGAATAAGGTACTTTTACCAGACCCCGTACGACCAACTATTCCGACCTATATATGATAAGTAAATAAAATATAAATTGGTTACAGGATTTGGTCATGAGCTCATATCGGTTACGGAACCATTGGAAAACCTGGGAGTACTGGACTGCCGTTTCGTCCTAGTTTGGGACTCTTCATCAGTAGGCCCCGAGAGTAGGGGTTTTGAACCCAGGATTTGCTGGTCACAAGGCAAGCTTGTAGACCATTAGACCGCTGGAACCTGATCCAATGGCCTATGAATTCGAACCGCAGCCTTAAAATACTAATGCCATTGACCATTGCTTTTTCTCATCGAATCATGAAATTTCTAACTTGTTAGTGATTAAGCCAAAATGTCATTTTATTGAATAAAATACCTTAAAGCCAGATTCAACGACGAAATTAATATTTTTAAGTGCCCATGTCTGTTCTCCATCGTAGCTTATACTAAAATTCTGAAATTTAATCTGTCCAGATTGTGGCCAATTATCAGGAAGTGTAACTTGATTCGACGTGTAATTTAATTCTGGTGGGAGATCAATATACTCAACGATTCGTTCTACAGAAACCATCTGAAATATGACAAGGAAAAAAAGAAGAAATAATTTTAATGACTAGAAGAAATGAATGTTAAAATAAATGTTTAATCAGCGCTGAATAAATATATTCGATTCAGGAAAGACCTTTAACTAGAATAATCTTTTTCCGTACACAATATAAGGCAGAGTTGAATTATCATGGCCTAAATCGCAGCGACCTTGAATAACCAGTAAGGATTCAGATGCTGTAGAGGGCGCATAATCGTTGAAAATGCATTAAAAATTGCAAACATGGTGTATTACACTAGATAATTCTCACTTATGTCTTGTAAGAATTTCTCCCAGTCTCTACATGGATAATCTACAGAGAAATCATACCATGAGCGATAGCTGTATTCCTCCAAGGGAATGTAGATCATGCTACTTTGAGATCTATTGATATTTCTGACAATGTTCTTTAACTGACCCCTAAATCTAACAATAATCTTAATCCCTTTTTCTGGCTTTAAGCCTAATCCTAACCCTAACCTAAACTTAAAAAACATAATCCTAACTGAGAGTATAGATTTACAGAAAAGTACCTAAGGAATAATTAGAATACTGTATCTACCCTTGCCAAAGGTAGGCATGATTTAATTTGGAATGACCTTTCGTTGTGCTCTCTAAATATGACTATTTCTTAAAAGTCAGCTTTGATAGACCTTGACTTTGACTATGGTGGTTTAACTTCGCCCCATTTAGTTCTGTTTTAACCCTTTTATGTTGTCATCAGATTCCTAATTCCACAAGTGACTATTCGGCCATTGAAGCACATCATTGTGTTTCCTTAAGTTAAATTAGTTAGTTAGTAGTTGCATCATATCACTGCTCTAAGCAAAATTCCTACTGCATATGAACTTAGTCTCTGAATAATTTATGCAGTTTTGCCTCTTGATTTACCAAGATATGTATATGATTTATCTAACCAGCCTAATGGTTTATGCGCAGGTATGTGTCAGTCAATCAAAGTTCTCGTGAAATAAAAAAAGACACGTGAAATTATTTATAGTTATGTGGTAAATTTGTTCAATATGACTTCAGTCCTTACAATCACGTGATTTAACTTGGAAATGTATTTTGGTTAAAGAAATATTCCATTTTGGGTAAGCCATTCAAATACACAGAATTATAAATGGGCTGGCAGTATAAGTAACTTACAATAAATGTTGAATTGAATTTTTGATTTTCACGTCAATTGATTGGACCGAAGTGCTTGGTCTCAGGTTGACATGTCTGTTGGCTTCTTGTGCAGATGCTTCGACGATGTCTGGGCATTTAATTAGTATACAATTGGTGGATGGTGGCTAGCAGTGGAATCCAGGATGCGCATTTCGTCCTATTTGGGACTCGTCATCTGGATGTACCTGCATTTCTCGGTGAGTGATGATGTTCCCACTGAGAAATGCAGGTACATCCAGCTAACGAGTCCCAAATAGGACGAAATGCGCATCCTGGATTCCACTGCTAGCCACCATCCACCAACTGTTTACAATAAATGTGTCTAAATTATGATTCACTGAAAACCCGATGAGTTTGAAGGGCATGGAAACATGTCATATACTGTCAGATCTCACTAATGAAATTAACCGTTTATGTTGCTATTCTACCCAAATACATGGGAATAAATGGGTCCAGATTCTGGTTCGCCCACAATCCTTTTCTTATGAATGACTTAGCAACATGTCAATAAAAAATCATGAGTGGATAAAAATGAGTCTAAATGGCTTACTAACATGCGGCATATCATTAGTCTTTATTCTAGTTACAAGGATAGTTTAGTGTTTTTTGACTGGATACTAGTAACTAGTGTGACATGTTTAGTCCTTTCTTTGGTGCAGAGTGAATTCTATCCGTCAGGTTTTTCAATGTGGCCACCATTCTAGGCAGCTCGCCATCACGGTGAACATTGATTTGATGATATTAGATAGTTGGTGGCAATCGGCAGGAAGCCGATTAGTTAACATAGTCATCTTCTGTATGACAGTTTTACTGTACTGTTATCTTCGATTTAACTGAAGACAAACGTCATGTTGCGAGGCTATTCAAATACATTAGAATAAATGGTGGCCGCAATGAAAACTGTACTGATAGAATTCAGTCTGCACCGAAGATAGGACTAGACACACTACACTAGTTACTGACTAGTGTTCAATCAAAATATCCACTACATTCCTACAGGAGGTCAATCGTGAGCCCGAAAAGCTCATAGGTAATGCATCTGACTGCATCATTGGGTGACGCGGGTTGTAATTTCAAAAGGGACATCAGTTCCTTGAAGATTGAAGATACGTCTTGCAGATTGGTGTGTGCCAACTGCACAACACCTAGGTCCAAGACTTCCTCCCCATTGCCTCCAGCCATCTAACATCAACATTAGAATAAATACATCCAAATTCTAGTTCTCTCATAATCCTAAGTAATTGAATAAATTAGCAACATGCCGTATAATTTCGGTTTTCTATTGTACACTATGATTGTAATATGGATGAAGTTAAACTGTATGCATCAAAAGAGTGCCATGTACCAATGACGTTAGAATGCCCAGTCAGCAAGTTAGTGAAACCAGGTAAATGACACTATAATCATGAGTAAAATATGCCTAATTAGGTATTAAGATATAAAGCGAGATATCTGGTAAGTTCCGGGTCAGGTTTTGGGGTAAATCCAATTAGTGTTTAGACTAAGGACAAATTAGGGTTAGGCTAACTTAATAAGAGAGATTTTAGAGTTAGTTCAAGTCAGATTATAGATAGTTTCGTCTTAAGGTTAGGTTAAGAAAAGATGACGGTTAAGCTTAGTGTTAGAAGATGTAGTTAAATACATAAATTGAGTATGGTTTAATCAGCCTAATAACACCCCAATGCAAAAGTCTCTGTCTGTCTGTCTATCTGTCTGTTTTCGACATAGAACTTTGCACAAATGTGCGGAAGTTCAAGTCGCCACACTCCGTGTAGCACGCGAAGCAAGAGAAGAAAGTACAAGAAAAGCATAATAGAGACAGTGAGAGAGGGGTGAGACAGGAGTAATAAAGAAAAACAAAACAGTTTCATTGGAGATCATAAGTCACAAGGAGTGGATGCATCTGCGCCATGAGAACGATTTTGAGCCATGTCACCAATTGTTTCCAACCATAGATTTTTACCGTCCCGAGGACCCAGCCTGGAAGTCTACACCTTCCTACGTGGCTTAGACCAACTGTTGTGGATTTCATTGACTGGTGCCAAGTTTTTGGACCGCGCTAGCTTTTTTCCACCTGACCCTATATCCGCTAACATTGCTCGTCGAGGGAGGCGATGGCTTGGCATACGTAACACATGTCCTAACCATCTCAGTCTTTGTAACTTCACGACTTCGTCGATTGTTTCCCTGTTTACCTAGAACTCGACGCCTAACCTCAATGTTGATCACCTTATTATGCCACTTTACACAGGAAACAGAACGCAGGCACCTATGATCAAAGACAGCTAGTCTTTTCATGTCTTCCACTCTCAGTGGCCAGGTCTCACAACCATAAAGGAGGACGGAGCGGACTGATGAGCAGTACACCCGCCCTTTGGTCGATAGTCGAACATCTTGTCTACGCCAGAGTCGGCGTAAACTGGCAAATGCGAAACGGGCCCCCTGTATTCGTGCTGAGATTTCGTCAGAGATCAACCCGTTGGGGCTGATGGTACTTCCCAAATAAGTGAAGCGGTCAACGTGCTAGCTAATAAGACCCTCAAAAAGAAGAGGTTGAAGGTAAGGCTAGCGATCCCACAGCGTAAAGATAAACACCCCCTGGTACCGAAACCTCAAAGCTCTAGCTGGTAGTCCTATTTTCCACTAGGAATATAAGGAAATAGAAAAATACATATGCATGGAATGCATGGTTTCCTTGTAAAATTAATAGAATACCAGTAACCATATTCAGTTAGGGTTTAATTAAAAGCTACTTTCGGTTATGTATAAAAATAAAACTGTTTTACCTACTACACAGACGTTTTATAAAATGAAGACAATATCAATTCACTGGTATTTCTGAAAGGCGTATGAGTTTTGAAGAAAATATGTATCGCTATCATTTTACCTGATTTTGAACTTCTGCACTTTGACGAATAAACCACTGAAACAGTCCCAGAAAGTTTATTCCATATGTGATCATCAGACCAATCGCAGAAGGAGGAAAATCTAAAGTAAAAAATTCACAGTTTTAAGCTCAATTTGCAATTCAAGGGTTACTTTGATTTATAAAGTTATATTTGTAAAATCTCAGCGAAATTGAAATGATCAATTCAAACGTTTCGTTCGGCAATCTGGTCCGAACTTCTTCAATCGAAACCGGACACAAAATCGACTTTGATAAGACTAAGGTTTTACTGAAAAGTTTTGGTTCATACCAAGAAAGACTGACTGCAGAAGCCCTACATATATGGGTGAATCCCAACAGTTTAAACAGACGTGAAGGTGTGATGTTAGCTGATGCATGGAAAAATCCTGACTAATAAATAAAATTTGATATGTATGAACAAGTAGTCACACTTGGTCAAATTCCCGATTGTCTACGTCTTCTTATGGAGAGAATAACAAATTTATAAAAAATTAAAACAAAAAGACGACCCAGACTGACGAACTATGATCAAGTATTTCACAACCTACACTTAGTTTGGTTACCTTTACCTATTCTCCAACTTGACAACCTAAATGATTCCAGACTAACGAACGATGATCAAGTTTTTGATATAATAACAGATATACTATATCCCAAACTAGGATGAAACAGCAGCTGTCCAGTACTCCCTGGTTTTCAATGGTTCTCTAACTGATATCAATCCGTGATCAACCCGTAAAACATAACTAATCCTTACAAACCAAACTATAGAAAGATATACTATTACCTTTGATATTTGGTTTGAACGATCTTCATTGTTATTTTGACTTTCAATATGTTCTTTTAAGTTGAACTACGTCTATATTTTTCTCACCCCCTAACTCTTTGTTATATATATATATATACTGAGATTTTGTAAATTTCGGTTTAATAATACTTTGAGAAAGCTATTAGCATTAAATAGCGAAACGTCAGTAAAAACAATCTCGTTTTGTTTTTCATTCTTTGGGAAATACAAAAACCTCTATTATAATGAAAATTAAATTATTTATTGAATTGAATTTTTGATTTTCCCGTCGATTGATTGGACCGAAGTGCTCGGTCTCAGCTGACGAGTCCCAAATAGGACGAAATGCGCATCCTGGATTCCACTGCTAGCCACCATCCACCAATTGTATAAAAATTAAATTATATTTATAAAAATCTCAATTATTTTGCAACTATCCGGTCAAATCTTGATCACACCTTGTATGAGAATAGCAAAGGTTTCATGACTGTTCACACACACACACACATACACACACCATTGTATACTGCATATACACATATATTTTATAGTTTTGGTTTGTGAGGACTAGTTATGTTTTACGAGTTGATTACGGATTGATATCAGTTAGAGAACCACTGAAAAACCAGGGAGTATTGGACAGCTGCTGTTTCATCCTAGTTTGGGAATCATCGGCAGTACGCACCCACTAGGATTCGAACCCGGGACCTTCCGGTTACAAGGCAAGCTCGTATACCATTCAGCCACTGGGACCCGATTCAATGGCTCGTGAATTCTAACTTCTACCAATTCGTGATTTAGCGCGACCCCAACCATTGTCGTTGGTGGGGCATCCATCCACACACGTCACATCTAATTGGACCTCACTGGTCACGACTTCTCACTAGGACTCAGGAAACTCCAACCTGTAGCAAGTCACTAGCGAGCATCAGATTAACTTTCTATAGTTTTGGTTTGTGAGGCTTAGTTTTATATATATTTTAACATATATTTTAACAAAGTAGACAAATTCTGAAGGTTTGGGGTCAAATTTCTGATCATAGTTCATACAATTTTTGTTTATTTTGTTTAGTGTATTTATTGATAGATGTTTCTTGATTCATATGACAGGAAAAACAATTTAAAAACAAGGGATGTACTTTTATATATAAACATACAATTTTATTTATTTACTATACAGGTTGATACCTGTTGCATGGCTCATGATTGTACAAAGTTTTAAAAACAAGATGTGTCCCTTTTATATATAAACTTTGTTATGTTAATTTCGATTAATTTCCCTGAAAAAGTTCGGACCAGATTGCTGAACGAAACGTTGGAATTAATCATTTCAATTTCGCTGAGATTTTACAAATATAACTTTATAAACGTCTACTTCTTACTCAGCGCTCAATTATTTTGCAACTATCAGGTCAAATCTTGATCACAGTTCACATGAACTACTTTGATTTGTTAATGAACAATTTCACTGTACTAGCAAAACTTCGAAGACCAGACAGAAATTTATAATTCTTAATAGAAGAAATGTGAATTTCACTGTCTACCAAACTCTAATGCATGATTTTGAATTTTTTGTGTACTCTGAGCTGGTTGATTTAGTTGAGAAGCTTTCGTTGTCCTTCTAGATAACATCTTTAGTGCAAGTTTCATATTATATATTCATGACAAACTATTCCAGATAATAACTTAAGTGAACATTATGTACTGAATTACCTTCATTATAAATTATTTAAATTAATCCCAGTGTGTTAAGAAAATCAAAACAAGATTTTTCTGAACGTTTCGCCGTGTAAGCCACAGCTTCTTCAGCAGATTTATTCGGATTATAATTAATCATCAAAATAAATACAGGACTATATATTTTGATTTTCTTAACACGCTGGGATTAATTTAAATAATTTATAATGAATCAATCTGACTCGGCGCTCAAATTACTCCAGGAAGTTCGTAACACCTACGGTCTGGAAACCTATAAATTACCTTCAGTTATATACTAATTTCAAGTATTGGTTTTTGTGGGGATTCAGTTTTGATTAGTTGGGGGATTTCGTCATGATGCTCTCTAGCGACTGACCCTACTCAGGCAGTGAGCTGGGTGTCTGGTGGGAAGTCGTGACCAGTAGGGTGCAGCAGATTGAAGGTGAGGCAGTAACTCATCGAAGAAGATATTGGTTAGTAGTCATGCTATGTCATGAATTGGTGGAAGTTTGAATTCATAAAGTGGCCACTGGGTCAGATTTCAGTGGTTTAATGGTCTACAAGCTCGCCTTGTGACTAGGAGGTCCTATGTCCGAAACCCTGTGGGTGTATGCTGACGAAGAGTCCCAAACTAGGCTGACGAAACAGATGCCCAGTTCCTACTGCAAGTTTTCCAATGTTTCTCCAACTTATATACTATTCTTGTCCAATTTTATGTTTTACACTTTATTACACTTGTGCAGAAATTCCTCTTTTCGGAAAATTGAAATAAAAGTGTTTTACCGAAATAAGCAAGTTATTTTGAACCGTGCATAAATTCTTTCAATGAGATTAATAACTTCACTTTCATATAGGCAGGCTTACCTGTATAAATACTGAGTAACAAGCAGGTGATAATTATTGTTACAGTGAAGAATACGCAGAGTAAATCAAGACGTAGCGCAAGCCAACGGCTAGCTGCTATAGTAAGGTAAAACACACTTGTATGATAATCCATCACCTCTTGAAACTTGACTAGATGATCATTTTGACGTAAAGTTGCACGGATGCATGGTAGACCTTGTAGAGTAACATTCACCCATGATATTATCGGAGCTTTAGCTGTAAGCAATAAAGTAATACACACTAAAAATTAAGCTATGATCTTTATTTTTAAAACTCAAAGCTAGTCTTGCTAAATAAGTGAGTTTATGCAAATGAAGAGTTTGTGTATACGTGAATAGATTTCAAGGAAACTAGTACACAAAGCACACTTTCAAATTTCTCATTTAATAGTAACACTATACTAATGTTGCTGGTGATTAAGGAAAAAGTGGAGAAAGTTGAAAATCTATTTCACACTGTGTGAGACTCTTCATCTGTATGCACCCGTAATCCTTTACAAGATAGAGCCGAAGACCTTTACCACCAATGACTGCACACATTTTTTTATTTAATTATAATAGTAAAGCTTTATTTCACACAATATGTGAACATATACCACAGAAATTTTCAGCTTATTTAGTTCCAAAATACTTCTTCTTCATACAGAATTTACATGTGAAGCAATAATCTGAAGTACACCATTTATCGTAGTGTTTAAGCATATGAGAATCAATTCTGTACATTTCTTCAATTCCTTCAAGATTTGCATAGCGTATAGTATGAAATTAATTCTATATGTGCGAGAGTTCATCTATTGATGACTCAACATAATTGCACGATTAAAACACTAATTTCAGAAAAGTGTAAGCATTTTGATAGATGGAAATTCTGGCAGGCCAGCGACTTAAGCAGGCCGCTGATTACTTTCCAAACTGTTAACTGAATAAGTTCTTCACTTGTGATCTATCAAAAGTAGACGCCGGTGGCACAGAGGTAGAATGCTCGCCAACGATGCATGTGGCCAAAGTTCAACCCCCGACCGAAAAATTCCTAAACCTCGTTAAGCCTCCAATAACATCGGCAAAGAGGAAAGGTTGAGCATGACGCTAGCAACCCAACCGAAACTTCAAAGCTGTAGCCAGAAGCCCTGTGATCCACTAGGAAGGTAAAGGACTTGAACAACATAAAAGTAGATACTCCAAAATAAAACTACTAATAACAGAGTAGTGTTTCACAGACACGTTTAAATTGAGTGTAACTTGATTTACAACCATGAGATTTCAGCTTTACCTTGTTTACAGTTTTAATATTCGATACAACTTTTCTGACAATGTAATGCAGCATTACAATTACAGCCATAGGGCATTTGTGAAATTTACAATGTGTCGATAATTACTGTTCATAGGATAAAACTGATTTTTAATACTTTGGGAGTTGAAAGGTATTGTATGAAGTTATTTAATTTTAACTTGTGAATTGTTCATTTAAGAAGTTTTATATCTGCTTCTCTAATTTAAAAAGAAACATAATTTTTGTCATTAGACGGAGAAATAGTGAAGGTTTTAAAACCTGCCACTTTTTATATGCTAAATTTAACAGTAATTTTTGTTCTCCTTTCGATAATGGATTATTTTAGTTTACAAAAGAATTGCTTATGTTTGAAAACACACTAATTCAGGTAATATTAATAGACGGTCAGTTAATTAAAGTGATGTCACTGAATTTAATGTTCCTAATATACTTTTGGTTGCATATTATATATATATATATATATATATATATATATATATACATATTATTACTCCCTTGAGTTCTGAGTGGGACATAGTCTTTAAAATACACATCTCCACCTTCTCTTTTCTGCCGTCCTCTTCATCTGGGTTCACGATTTCCCATAATCTCTCATCTCCTCAAACTCGCATGATCTCCTCCATGTCGACCTCGCATCGACGACCCACTCATCGCTTCCCGTTCGGATTCCACCTAAGCTATGACCTGAAGCGCAGTGCCATTCGACGGCCTCCTAAAAATAGTTCATATTTTTTACAATATGGTTATAGGTAAAATGTAGACTGACCTGCAAGTACTCAATATTTAAACTTACCACATAATGAGGTAATCCTATGAAGTGACAGCTACTGTCATAGTTAATCCGTAAGAATGATTAATTACATGTGCATGTTTTATTTATCGCTTTTTGTTTCAGTAGAATGCTGCAGGTATTTATGTGCAAGTAGAGCAAGATATGTCCAGACTACCAGGCTATGATAGAATTTACATATTTTTTCAGACATAAAATTCAGTCTTTTAAACACCTTGGGTAGAAACCTAAGTGTTTTGGCTCTATGATCTGAATGTAAGACAGCGCTGCAAGACTACTTCATGTCGACTTCTGGTATGGGGACTGGAAGTAAAATGGTTGAATGTATTGACCACCTGTTCTAAGGGAGTGATTGACGATGAAAACTTCAGCAAGGACATAAAGGACCAGTTTGGCATTTTCAAATTTGCAGGTGTGATATCATCTATGAAACCATGCATGTACTGTTCAGAATTTTGCTCCATCCTTATTTATAACAGTGGGAGATATGAAAACATTGAGGATTTCCGATCACATACGCTTCAACTCAGGCTTTGGTGTCAGGTGTTATATCATAAGTAACAATCGGATTAGGTGAAAGGTGATAGGTAAGGAAGGAAATTCAGTGTATGCGGTGGTGAAACTCTCTATGCCTGGTGAAATGACTGGGACATGTGCTACACACTCCAGACTACAACCTTCTCTGATGATGAGCAGTCTGATTTGTAGTGTTCCTTAAAAAATGAAAGTAACAATCATTTAAGTACAAACCATTGATTTTTCCTGTCTGTTGCAAGAGTTTAATTAAAGTCAGTCTGTGAAATGAATTCGAGTTTATCTCCAGTACTGTATCCCATTTGATTACATGAAACGAGGACCAGGAATTCTGATGAGTTGCCTATCAACTATTTCATTCAGTTTAAATTTTCCCGTCGACTAATTGGACAGAAGTGTCCAGTCTCAGGTTGACATGTCGGTTGCTTATGCAGATGCTTCGACGATGTCTGGTCATATGACTTGAAGTCAACTACTGGTGGATGGTGACTACCAGTGGAACACCATTACTCATTGGAGAATGCATGTACATCCAGATGACGAGTTTAAAATAGGAGGAAATGCGCATTGTGGATTCCACCACTGCTATTCACCATCTACCAATTGACTTCAAGTTGTCTTTCAAGGCCAAATAAGTATTCTTTAACTTGATACTGGTGACTTATGTGACCTGGTAGTTTTAATCATTGTCCTTGAAGCATGCTGCAAAGAATAAGTATCCTGTAAAGATTTATGAATGATTGGCTCAGCAGTTTACGTTTCATTATGGTGCAAATGAATGGATTTATACTTTTATAAATCTCTCTGTTAACTTAACCACTATGTGTTCGCTCGTTCTTGATTATCTCTGTACTTGAAATTTTTTGTTCATAAGGTTTATTTTAATTATTATTGTTATTATTGAATTGAATTTTTGATTTTCCCGTCGATTGATTGGACCGAAGTACTCGGTCTCAGGTTGACATGTCGGCTTATTGTTATTATTAAACGAGACGAATTTGCCTTTTAAAACAAACAATATTCATCAATTTCATTTCACTTATTAAAAAAAGCAAAATAAACTTTAAAAATTACAGAGATAATCATGAAAAAAAAAGAAAATTACCAGCAGATTCGAGTCGTTTTAAATCTCTGGATATGAGTAAATACTTCTTCTGAGTTAAATAAAAGAGAATAATAGCCATAATTGTAGGTATAATAAACCAATAACTCATGTAGATAATTACTATTCCCATTATGAGAACTAAGAGAAAACACTGAAACAACACAAGAAAACAGATATATTCCATTTACAATATAGACTAGAATTGGTAGTAAACAACAGGAAATTGATTTAAAGTAAATATGACGGAGTTAAACCTGAAGGCACCAGTAAGGACCAATGGAGTAATGACCTTGAACGCACCAATCACGTCATGGAGGTGATTTTTGCGTATAAAATAAGCATATTCATGAAAACAATGAATTAAAAGGCATGAAAATGTTACATAGGATGCCTTTCTCTGACGTGTGACTAAAAAACCTCTTGATTTTGGATTGGAATATCAACAGAATAATTTAACCGCATTCTATGCATGTAATTAGCTAGGTCTTCTAAGCCTAACAATAACGCTAGTCTTTCCTTAACCTAACCCTAACATGAAAATGTCTCTAAACTAACCATAATCTAACTAGAATCAACCCTTATGTCGCCCTCATTTTTTTCCTTCATGTTCCCAGTGGAACATAGGGCTTCAAGGTAGAGGCTTGAAGTTTCTGTAGCAGTGTTTATTTTTACAGAATGAAGTTGCTAGCCTCATGCCCAACCTCTCCTCTTTACCGGCTTTTTATCACTGGTTTGGCGAGGTAAAGGAGTGAGTTGGCCAGGGATCGAACCCTGGACCATGAGCATGGTCGGCGAGCGTCCTAACCACTGTGCCATCGAAGAACACTCACACCTCATTAGGTTGACCTAACCTTAACCTGTCTTCAGACTAAGCCTTAACTTAATATTTCCTCAATCTAACCTGAAACTTGCTAGATATCCCATTTAGTAACACAACACTTCATAAAGCATATTTTGTTCATGATTACGATATTATTTAACAGGTTTCACCAACTTGCTAACTAAGCGCTTCAGGGTCATTGGTGCGGTTGCACTTCACTGACACTTATTGGTGCTTAAAGTTTAACCTGGCCGTAGATATTCTAGAAGAATTGCAAATTCCTCTCAAAAAAGTTGGTTGCTGCATACCATGTCACATAAAGATGTACATAAATAACTTAAAAGTGGATTAAAGAAACAGTATTTTAAACTGAAAATGAATAAGTTGAGATTTATTTTACCACTCATTTTTGTAGATAACTAGCGAGAGCTGTTCTTAAATTAACTGGTATATTCATAGCTAACTAGCGACTGTAATTATAGATACTTGTGTAGAAACAACTAACACGTAGGGGTCATGCACTTCATAACCACTTAATATATCAACATTTAATGAATGCAAATGATTCTTTTAATTCACATTTAATGCATCCCTTATTTAATAAGCGTTTAACAACTTTTTGTAGATGACTTAATGTCAGTCGTATTCCACATTAGATTTTATCACAAACTGAAATAAAAGAACTCTGAACAGCTTTTTGATCCTAGGTATGAGATTTCAGATTAATTCACACCGATAACCCATTTAGGAATCGAGGCAACAATCGGGATGTTACTAGGCAAACACGTTATATTTCAACCAATGAACTCATGAAATTTAACGTTTGTTTGTTCTGGGATTGTAGTGTTAGCTACAAATGTCATTGACGAGTATCTATCATCCCACCGAAACTGATGGATCTCAATGGTCTTAGCATCTCGTAAGAATTTCAGTATCCTCATTCAACAGTTAGTGACTAAGAACACTGAAAACTTTATTGATTTCAACGTAGATTTCGTCCAAATAGGAAATAACTCCGTTATGGGTTATTGGAAAACTTGGAGGTACTGGACAACTGTTTCAGCAGCCTAGTGTCGGATCCTTCACAGTGCACACACCGCCATTGTTCCAACCCACGACCTTTTGGTCACAAGGAAAGTTCGTAGACCATTAAGCCCCTGAGACCCGAACCAATAGCGCATGAATTCCAACTTTTATAAATTCATGAATAGTGGGGTCCACCATGTCAGGTAAGAGAAGAATTATTCACCTATGACATATGCTTGTGGTTGGGATAAACTCATGAATTCGTAGGATTTGGAATTCATGGGCTGCTGGATTGAGTCCCAATGGCTGGTATATACACACCTAATTTCCTACATGTCATTCTTACATATTTGTTTGTAATTCTGTCATCCCACTTATTGATTTATGACCTGACTTTCTCTCACACTACTAATGACCTTTGAAATCCTGTTGGTTGTTCACTGTCTTAATTAGTGAATGACATTAGTGCTTCTCAATGTCATTTTACACATATATATGCGCAAGTGATGTCAGCCTTTCTTGACCGTTGTTTTAAGACAGTAAAAGCTCTCTTACCAATGTCCAGTCTTATCTTCTACCTATTTGCTGCCTGGCAGTGTTATTATGATTGTTGTTATTGAGGTCTACAACGTCAGTCATGATGGCGGATTTACGGTCGATGATGACTCCTTTTAGTCGGGAGGTCCACGATTCGATCCGCAATGAGTGCGTACTGCCGAGGAGTCCCAAACCAAGACTAGAGACCTACTGGGTTTCCAATGGTTCTCTAACCATTGTCAGCTTATTATGAAATCCTGTAGCCAATCAAATCCCTGTAATCCAACACTAGGAAAAATGCTTGATTTAATATTCATATTTCAGCACAAATTTACTTTGCTAGTGTGAATAAAGTTTGAATTGTAAGAAAATGAATAGTGCATTTTTAGCCTTGTCATTTCATGTAAGCGAAAGCATTCATATTATATTCTTAGAAATGATAAACTGAATTTAAAAAAGTCACAAGTCGATTTCTTTTTGGTCAGATAATGTATCGCTGCTAGTCTTCAAGATGACATACATGAATTTATATTACAGTTTATCTTTGTTTAAAAGCAGTTCAATGCCCTTACCTGAATACTATGTTCCGAAGTTTGGTTTGTAAGGGTTAGTTTTGTTTTTACGAGATAGTCACGGATTGATATCAGTTAGAAAACAATTGAAAACCAGGGAGTAATAGACAGCTGCTTCATCCCAGTTTGGGAATCATCGGAAGTACGCACCCACTGGGGTTCGAACCCAATGGTTTGGGTCCCGCTAAATCACGAATTGGTAGAAGTTAGAATTCATGAGCTCGCCATTGAATTGGGTCCCAGTGGCTGAATGGTATACAAGCTTGCCTTGTAACCGGAAGGTCCTGGGTTCAGACCTCAGCGGAGTGCGTGCATACTGCCGATGATTCTCAAACTAGGATGAAACAGCTGTCCAGTACTCCCTGGTTTTCAATGGTTCTCTAACTGATATCAATCCGTCAACTAGTAAAAATGAATACTATGTAGTTTTACATTTCTCTTAAATTGGTTCACACTTACTACTACTGTTACTGAACTTAGATACAAAGCGATGTAAATGAATGGCAGTTGTTATAATTAAACATCTGGATGTTAATATTCTTCATGCATTTTGACTGCTTAAAGTATTATTTTACTGATTGATGCCTGGATTTTATATTTTAAGACAATGATAAGAATTCGAATATACGTAAAACAACTCGTCACACAAATGTCTTTCATTTTCTAAAGTCACCCTTCTTATTTCAATTGTATATCTGATGAGTTTAATTTAATACTAGTTAAACTCCCTTAAAAATATTTTGTACTAACATATTTCTAGATAAGGATTTCCTGATAGGGAAATTAAGAATCCTATTCATACTACTTAAAAGTAGTTAATTTATTAAAAAAGAAATTTTCTCACCTGGATGGCATCACACATAGCAATGGGCAGCATATCATCCACGGTAGTTAAATCCTTGGAAAATCGATTCACTATTGCTCCTTTAAAGCAAATAAAGAGGATGAGGGAACAAACAAAAATCAATAATTTTGGTAAGGATTGTACATGTGATTGCATATTACGTATAGACTACGGTTTTCAGTACAAGCAATATACCTTTGCTCTTAAAAAGATATGCCCTTTACTTTAAAATAAGCTCTATTTGAAGTGCTAACTGAATACATATTTTCATCTGCATAAAAAAACAACTGTGCGAAAGGAAGAGAATCTATATTCTTTACTAGCTAGTTCCTTGTTATTACTAATATTATTCCCTTAGGTAACCAGCGAAACACTGAGCTTCAAAAGCACATCTCCATTTCATCCTATTCTCTGGAGTTATCCTTTGTTGGCTCCACGACTGCCTATAAACTCCCATTTCCTTCTCACACTGTATACCCCACACTCAACTCATCTTTCATCATTAAGGTCCCACTCCAAAACCTTGTACACGATATCACACTACCATCTCTTCAGGGTGTGTCTTATGAATCTCCATTTTTTCAGCATATTTGTTGGGCTGGTATAAGAGTTTCTTGGTTGGTTCACTGTCAGACATCCCGTTTCCTAATCTTTTTTGACTGCGTGATCTTCAGCATAGACCGGAGACAGCTGTTGACAAAAGTATACCGCAGCATATTGAAAGTGTTTTTGATGATACACCAAGTCTACGAACCATATAAAAAAAAACTGTCGTAAAGTTAATGTTGATATTATAATGAGCAATAAATTGTGTTCAAAATAATACTGTTTCATTGTTTGATAAATCTAACATACAAATTGATATGAAGTTATTGTTGAAAGTTCGAATCCCGTTCATTATGCTCACGGCAGTTGATTTCCACATTTATTTTAGGGTAACGAACACCTAACCGTCTTGCAGTTTTGGTTGTGGCTGACTTGGAGATGTTTATCCATGCTATCGTTAACTCAAACAATGCTGTCTAGATAACTGAAAGAAGTGACACCCTTGATAATGATTGGTGATTATTGCTTCTATTATTGCTGGATAGGTATCTTCACCACCTCTGTCTGCGCTGCTTCTTCTGTCAACCTCTTGTTTTTCACCTAAAGACCTTCGAGCTTAATGTGCTACTGGACATAAATCGTCCTCAATGTTCAGATTTTCTAGAGTCATCTTGTTGCTCCGACATACCCCTGTCTTTTTGCTCCCTGCAACTTGCCGCTTGACACAGCTTACCACAATCAGGAATGTCATCGGTGATCCTCTAATGATTATTTTATTAGCCGTAATCTGTTTATCGATCGTGAAAGTTAGCGATAAAGTACTGGTTTGAACTGTAGAGTATTGTACGCTATCATCACAAGACATGAAACAAAAACACGGTTTTTTGACAATGAACTCTTGTAAATAACCGATTTGTATTTTCTTCAATTAGTAAAACATTTTCAGATTGTTCTGGTATAGAGAGAACATACTGCCATATAAAGTACTTTGCACTTCTTTTATGTTAGAGCCATCAGTATGATACTTGACTGCGTTATGTACGACCACTAGGTTTACAGTTATAAATTCATTTTGTATTGCCTCATTGTTTGTAGTTCGATAGGTTCTACATTTATTAATCAAATTACATAGGCATAAGGTGTTACAGAAAAATTCTACTTTGAGGGGAACTATAATTGATCACTTTTAGTACTGCTAATAGATCAATATAAACGTCTTAATGTTTTGTGTATCTATTTTTTATACCTACATAATCAAATTTAAAAAATTCGAGTTTTTCAATTGTTGCTTTGCAGAGGTTTGATTGATTTCAGGGTTTCATCATGGGCTGACATCGGTCAGAGAATCATTTGAAAACCTGGGAGTACTGGACAGCTGTTTCGTTAGCCTAGTTTGGGACTCTTCCCAGTACGCACCCATCGAAGTTTAAAACCAGGACCTACTAGTTACAAAGTGAGGTCATAGATCGTTCGGCCACTGGGACTCCATCCAACAGCCCTTGAGTTCCAGCTTCTGTCAACTCATGATATAGAACGACTGCTAGCGAATGTCATCGGCAGGTATTTGCCCTCACTACTGCCCTGATTAACCTCACTGCTTGCGACTTCCCACTAAATCCCAGGTAACTACCTACTTGAATAGGTCCTCTAATTTCTGTCAGTTCATGATGAAATTCGAATTTCTATTTACCTTAAAAATGACCAGCTTTGGCAAGCATTTATAGAGTTTAAAATTTATTTTTTTAACTAACCGCTGTTGTATGATAGGAAAAACATTTACACACTTTCAGCGTTTAAGATACACGTAGAAACCTTAGCAAAATCAGTGATACAGGTCAAAAAAGTAACAATCTGATGTTTTCACTTAAAACGACACACAATTAGTCTATCTAACCGTACTTGAGTAAAGTTCACGAAGAATACCATATAAATGGAGACGACTAGTTGCTTATCATCCATCTACATTATAGCGAAACTTAATTGTAGACTGACAATACTCTAGGGTTCATTCTGCCTTTGAATAAAGCCATCAAACATTTTAGTATCTATTAATCAACAAAAGTGATAAGCATGAAGAGTGGACAAGTGAGCATAAAAGCCCATATGAGTCGTCTATAGCTAGCTGATTACATAGTCAGTCATCTGAATGACTGCCCTAATTTTATTAAAATTTAAATTAGGCTTAGGTTTTTGAGGCATAAACACGACCTCATTTGACTGTACAGTACAGTTAAACATTCATTGCACAAGAAGCTGACATGCCAACCTGAGACCAAGCAATTCGGTCCAATCAATCGACAGGAAAATCTAAAATTCAATAAAATAATTAATATGACCGGTTGCACAAGAGGTGGCTGTCGTGGCCCAAATTGCCTAGTGGATAAGGCTTTGGCGTTTGAAACTATGGGTTGGAGCCTCGGTGGGAATATCATCACTCACTGGGGAATGCAGGCACATCCAGATGACGAGTCCCAAATAGGACGAAATTCGGATCCTGGATTCCACTGCTAGTCATCATCCTCCTCTTAAATTCTAACTATGTGCTCAGACATCGTCGTCTGCACAAGAAGCCGACATGTCAACCTGAGACCGAGTACTTCGGTCCAATCAATCGACGGGAAAATCTAAAATTCAATTAAATAAACATCACTAATATTGTTTCTCCGATTAAAGTTTCTTACAACTAACAAAATAACTTTAAAGACTCATTTACTTTATAACAGCAGATCTTCCAGTTAGCCATTTCTGTAATTCAGATCTACAAATTTAATAGACGCAAATTTTGCAACAATGATGTAACACTCACCAGATGGATTCATTTCAAAAAACTTAATTGGAGTGTGTAGACAGGAGTGCAACATTTTGTCATGCAAACGTCTTGCTGCAGTAACCATAAACTTGACAAAAATATTTTTAGAAAAAAATAAAAACAACACAGATTGTACAGTTTAAGGTATATTCAAATGAACAAAATAAATGAATAAAACACTTCTACACCAATCACATTGAAAGATTATAATTTACAGAATTCTGTACTAATATAAAATGTTCATAAGTGTGAAAGGTAAATTTAATTCCTTTTAAAGTTTCCACATGTGGTTCGTCACCTTGCAGTTATTACTGAGTAAGACTAAATATGTAATATTTAGAGAAAAATTGAGCATAGAACATCCTTTTCGATAATTTCCTCTTCTCGCTCTACAATTATACATATACCTATATGCACAGAATATTCTAGAATAGTCGTCACTAAGAATATTGGTGTCTATAAATACTATCGATTTGTTAATTAACATCAATGGAATTACAGTTCACGAAAGATGCATAAATTATAATAAGCATAAAGTGTAGTAGGCAAACAGAAAATTAAGGAAATTAAGGGAATTTCCACTACAAATTGAGCATTATTAGAGCCTTGATGGCCTAGGTAAGGACAGTGTCTGAAACAATTTCTTTTGGATACATAGGTTAGGTTTCTTAATGTGAATCCCAACAGCCACCCACCCTCAGCAGTATGTAATAGATGAACTGTTGAGGTAAATTAAGATTAATTGGTATGCCGAAGATGACTTTGAAGGCCTGGTTGACATCAGTTTTGTGTTCTGCATCTACGGGATGAGATAGTATTGAACTATGAATAGACTTTATTTATCCCTTACATAACCAGGCAGAATGATGTTGGGAAATCTCATGAGAAACACGCCTAATTGTACATTATGTGTAACTGGCTCCACAGGAGCAGTCAAACTGGTAAGTACACATAGAAGAGGCAAAATTAGGTAGCTCATCTTTGAATCCCGAACGGAAAAAGGGGTGGTTTATAAGAGACAGCATAATTCAGAAGTACTAAATGCTCTTTTTACCTCCGTATTCCTTAGACGTTGTGTTGATATCTCATTGATTTTATCTGCAAGGAAGTGAAGTTCCAAGAATAAGGCCCTTTTTTAGGACTGTTGGTACTTTGGCCTGCCTCAGCTTTTGATTCATATTCTCATCAGTGAATTTCCTGGGCAACCGTTATCACTTAGCAACTGTTTGATTATATTAAGCTGTTCATTAAGGCATTCATCAATGCAGACTGCCTTTGCTCAGTCCACAGAGCATACCTTAAGAGTTCGTCTATCACATATTGTTGAGGCTGTTGAGATTCACATTAAGAAACCTAACCTATGTATCCAAAAGAAATTGTTTCAGACACTGTCCTTACCTAGGCCATCAAGGCTCTAATAATGCTCAATTTGTAGTGGAAATTCCCTTAATTTCCTTAATTTTCTGTTTGCCTACTACACTTTATGCTTATTATAATTTATGCATCTTTCGTGAACTGTAATTCCATTGATGTTAATTAACGAATCGATAGTATTTATAGACACCAATATTCTTAGTGACGACTATTCTAGAATATTCCATGTATGCAAGCATATATATATAGTATCTCCAACTAATCAATGAGACTTCCTCTACAGACCTTGAAGCCATAATGAGGGCGAGAGAAAATAAGGAAGCCAAAATTTCAAGCATGAATAATAACAATTCTTAGTTTATTCACTTGCCCGCATCACAAAGTGACACAGAAAATAAATATGCAACAGCCAAATAGTATCAAAGTAAGCTTTGCCGGCATGCCGATAAATGGAGTTAACAAATATCACAAAGATTAATACTGATCTATGTGACAGGTAAACATTAATCATTTATTTGTGACTTCTTAGCCTAATTACCCTTCAAAATATCTGAATTCACCTGACGCAGAAGGTGTCTACCGATAAAAGACTTTTATTCACAATACTTTCTATTTGAAACAAGTTTTAAAGTAGGGAATTTTAGACGGACTCTTATTAGCAAAAGCTTTTTGTCGGTAAAATAGCAATGTGAAATTGAAATATGGAAAATAGTTGCAAATTACCGTTGTCATTTTACAAATGTTCATAGTTGCCTTCAATTTCTTAAATTTTTGCAGTATGCAAGAATGTTAGCTTCCATGTTAGCACATATGTGTACCTATCAATTATTTAACAGGTGCGTTCCTTATCAAACTCGCTTCACATTTGTCTAAATATCTGAGATAAAACTTTTACTTTACTCGGTTACGTCAACTAATTTCATCAACAAATAGTTTAAGTTTATTGCAAGTATTCTCAAATAACAAGTATATGCTTCACTTTGTTTCAAAATGTTACAGCAGGACTTTAACATCCACGGGGTTATTAACCTCTTTACAAGTTGCATAGGATAAAAATATTAGTTGCTTCTCTTGCTAAGAATGACATTCACAATCAAGAGAGATGCATGACTTCATTGTTTACGGATCTATTCTGCTCTGACTATCCTTATGCTTCTCCTACAAACTTCTGCTCTGGTTAAAGCTGTCTGTGGAGAAAGACAGTGATACGTCAGGCATAAAACGTGTCACATAGACCTCAACTGATGAAGTTATATAACTATGTGAGTTAACATGTCTTCTTGACCGAAACGTCGATGAACGTAACTTTCTCATCTATGCTAAGAATTCATAAGCAACCAGAAGTGATGCAAATTCTTATATAAGTAAAATGATCAGTAAATTTAATCATTTCACCACCCATCATCATACTGAGAGTCAGTGCAGACCAGTCCCTCTCTATCATCTAATACCTCACGAGGACAAACCATGTACCAAACATACTCAATTCTCTGCTAAAATCCCTCGAAAAATCTACAGCGTACGCCAGCATTTTCGCCAGCAACATTAGTTTTCGGTGATAAGTCAGTTGTCGAGATATCGAAGTCGTATACAGTCGTATTTGTCAGTATGTCTACTATGAAATAAAGTCACAGTAACTACACGGGTTGGTTATCACTTAAGATAATCATTCTTGCACATGTGTGAACTACTGTAAAGAGGTTTGGTTAACAAAATATCCGTTCTCGTAACTCTGTTCATGGTCACAACACCTCCTTGTCATTAAAAATAAAGATTTAGGGAGAACCTTTCCTGTGACACAAAAGATACGTGGAACAAATACAGAAAAACCGACTAGTTTTGAAAGAACTGGAAGTATATATACTTATACTTGACAAAATGTCATATCAGAAGGCTTAAAGACGTTCTCTTTCCCTTAAAGTCATCGATTAGTGAGCTTCTGTAGCACTTGACCTCATTATTAAAATAAAAGTCAATCAGAAGATGCTTGTAACGTTTTCTACTAGCGAGCAGATTACAAAGATGGCGAAGTTTAATAATAGCATCCCAAGGGATGCGAACGCTCCGATGACCTTGAACGCATGCTAGTCGTTGGCTAAGGGTATTTGTCATTACTACAACACAAATATGAACGTTTTTCACCAAATGAGGGGCAAATTTCACCCAGATCGTATTTTTAAGTACTGTTTGGATAACGTGTTAATAGCTCTCTAGGGCTAGGATTAGAGTTAAGGTAGGTATTAGGGTTAGGGTTAGGATCAGGGTTATAGTTAAGGTTAGGACCAAGGTTACGGTTAGTGTTAAGTTTATGGTCAGGGTTGGGATTATATTTAGGGTTACGATTAGGGATTGATTTAGATTTGGTATTATTTATTTTTAATTTGTTTAATCAGTCACATTTTGCTAATGAGTTAGTCGTCGATCCTCTTACTGGATACCATATTAGTTTGACCGATGGCTCTTGAAGAAGGCTGCGAAACAGGATAAGAGCGGCAAACGCGTCACAAAACAAGCTCAGTCACCTCGGTGAATACATGTGCAGAAATTGGTCAGACTTAGAAACTGATACTCTTCACTATAACTTGGATATATATTTAAGTCAGATCAGAGAAAGATACCCTGTTTTGTTTAACTTTGCCACAGAAATATCAAAATTATGAGATTACCAAACAAAATGATCACTGTACTAGTATTCTCATAAAACCATATTTACCACATACATGTACACTTATCAAAATCAATTAAGCTTACAGCGAAAAATGCCATAGCTCTGGTATAGGACACCAAAATTAAAGCGATAACCAAACAACTAAGTACGGTGAAATTAAAGCGTTTACTTCTCAAATCAAACGATCCCAATGAATAAACTGATACATTTCTCTGATAATTTTCGCTATCATTTAAGGCGAAATTGTCCATCTGACGGCACCTAAAAGAAAAATACCATTTAGATCACAGATTGTAAGCCAAACACGTAAGAATACATAGAATAAAAAAATTTAAACGTGGAAAACATCAATTCAGTATCATTTTGAGAATAATCATATTACCTTTATGTTTCTGTTCAAAAAAAACGTCTCTAGGTCGGAATGAGAGTGACTGAACTAAGTTCCTCTGAAAACTGCTGATGTCAGCTAACTCACTTATGCTTAGCATCCAAAGGTGTATAAACCTAGAGAGATTGAGATGGCGCTTTATATAGCCTGAATTTCTATAAGTCTTGTTCTGCTAATCCAGTAGGTTTTCTAACATATAACTCCTGACTGAGGTTATCTTTCCTTTTCCATACCACGTTTGATGATGCTTAAGGAGACAGTGGGCTTTCTGAGTTGTTTAACATATGTAACTGTCTCCACCAGAGCGACTGAATTTATAAATTCACACTAAAGTGGCTAAATTCGGTAGCTTATCCTTCACCTGCGTCGGAATTATGCAGCAGGTGGTGAACTTTAAGTACTATATTGTGGCGAAAAGTGTTTAAACTATTATCATTTGGAATTTCAGTGTCAATAGTTCAGTCAATGCATCTCCTGTGAACGATAAACTCGTTTACACATACTTTTCTGCTGCACTGGTTACAGAAATTTTCCCCTATTTGCTCTCATAATGGAAAATTGCACAATTTTCTCTGAATATCCATTCTCATTAAATGAGTCTTGTGTTTTCCCGATTTCATTATTCAAAGTGTCGATTGTGCAGATTTTTCTGCAATGAAGCTTAACAATGCTGATGAGATTTTGTTTATTAGCAAGAGGAACAAATAATCTAAAATAAGTGGATTGGCTAACTCATGACTTGTGTCTGAAAATATCCTGCTGAATACTGACATCTGGCCCTCTTGTTAGCAGGACATCAAGAAATGATGAAATATCGTCCTTCTCTGTGAGTAAGCCTTGTTGAACCTTTAAAGAAGGATCTTAATAATTATTTCATTCTTGTGTAAGATAAAAGGATCATGTTTAAATGGAGCATTGTCTAATTTCGACATAGGCATACCAGTGAAGAAATGACCCAAGGAGATTCCACTTCTATGCCCTCAACTTCATTATACATTTCGTGGTTAAACTGAAACTGCACCTTCACCTAAAATGTAGCAGCAGTTCCCTTTATTATCAGATGGTATCCCTGTGGTGAGAGGTGGCCGTGAGAATATATGAGAAAGGATGATTCAACAACCAATCACAGCAGACTTAACGTGGACAAATATGATTCGCAGATAGAGAACTCTATTTTTCGAGGAATCCCGAAACAACCAATCAGAAGCCTGCGTTTGTCTGCTTAACTTCCGAGAAACAACCAATCAGAAGACTGCGTTTGTCTACTTGCATAAGCTATAATAACGTAAGTGAAATATATATAAATACGTGTTGATTTTCGTAATAAACGATCTGTTGCCTGGCCCTTGTCTTCTGTTGTTACATCCCTACCTCCATATAATTTTCCAGCAAGGATTCACAGCTGAAATCAGTAGTATCAAAAAGCAGGACGTTAGTGGATAGGAAAGAAACATCCATTGAAATCACTTTTTTGTTGTTGAACTCCTTACCTCTCACTTTCCCTATTAACTCAAATGTATTCTTCTGGCTAAACTTAGCCAATTTTAGGTTCCTTAATGTTCGTCTACCAGCTAACGTGCTACTTCCTGAAATAGTGAATTACATTTGTCTTATTGGTTACAGGATTTCATCATGAGCTGACATTGGTTAAAGAACCATTGGAAAACCTGGGAGTAGTGGACAGCCGTTTCGTCCTAGTTTGGGATTCTTCATCAGTACGCATCCACCAGGATTCCAACCCAGGACCTTCTGTTTACAAGGCGAGCCCATAGACCGTTAAGCCACTGGGACCCGATCCAATACATCATGAATTCTAACTTCTGCCAACTCACGACATAGCGCAACCGCTAGCCAAAGTCTTCGGCGAGTATTTGTCCTCACACCCGACACATTGGCTAACGGTCGCGCCATGTCGTGAATTGGCAGAAGTTAGAATTCATGGGCCATTGGATCGGGTCCAAGTGGCTGAATGCCATACGAGCTCGCCTTGTGACTAAAAGGTCCTGGTTTAAAACCCCGGTGGGTGCGTACTGATAAAGAGCCTCAAACCAGGACGAAACAGCTGTCCAGGACTCTCAGGTTTTCCAATGTTTCTCTAACCAATGTCAGTTCATGATGAAATGCTGTAACCAATCAATCGAATCCCTACAAGCCAACACTTGAACATATGTCTTATATTGAGCAAGTTGGAAAGCTGAGATTATGAATTGTAGGTAAACGGTGTATTTTATTTAGGTTTTTTCTACAGGTGATAGACATTCAAAAATTTAAGGAGACTACACGAATGGATACTAGGATTTTCAGTATCCTAGATAATTCCTCTCTTTTTTCTCTGTATCATCATTGCCGTTAGGTAATATTTCGAATTTTACATTATCGTGTAGAATGCTGTTCGTCTTATTGATTTAGTCAGCTCCATATAACAATATTATCTTAGTGGCAGTATGCAGTCTCGGTATAAGAATGTTTTATATGGGTTGGATTCACTTTAAGGCTTTAAAATGAGTCTTTCGGTGAACAGTTTTCTCGTTACACCTTCCTGATTGATATTGATAAAAATTTTCAACATGACAGACCTTGAATTCTTCTCACTATAATTGTAAGGAGAGAAAAAGTGATTTGTTTTATTGAAAACATTTTCAAACTATATTTCAGTTTACATAAGATTAGAACTTGTGCACTGTGGTAAAGCATAATTCCATTATGGGTGAAATTTATTTTGATAGTCTCACAGTGTTGTACACTAATATTTACTGAAGACGTTTCGAGCACAATTTATTCCTCATAATCATATCAAGGTGACAGGAGTAACTTAACTGGTGTTTATTTGTAATTGATTCAGAGGATAAATATCTCAGTAACAGTGAGGTGAGAGCAGGCTGCTAGCCAATTGGTAGACATTAATCTACGTCAATGTCTAGGTCAATAATATTAGACGTGAGAAAATATGAACAAGGCTGATTCAACAACCAATCACAGCAGACTTAACGTGGGCAAATATGATTCGCAGATAGAGAACTCTATTTTTCGAGGAATCCCGAAACAACCAATCAGAAGCCTGCGTTTATCTGCTTAACTTCCGAGAAACAACCAATCAGAAGACTGCGTTTGTCTACTTGCATAAGCTATAATAACGTAAGTGAAATATATATAAATACGTGTTGATTTTCGTAATAAACGATCTGTTGCCTGGCCCTTGTCTTCTGTTGTTACAACAGTATTTCATAGTTCTACTACAATAACACTGCGAATTGCATAACTGACAATACTTATTGTATCCCTTGGTTTCAAATTCTTATTTAGCTAGTGTGGCTTACCGAAAGAAAAGAGTGAATGCCACTGAGGACAGCTTTAAGCCATGTTATCAGTCTCAATTCGTTAGCTCTTATTATCAAGCAATCTAGACCTCCCTACCTGTCTCAAATCAACAGTCAAAGACTTAATAAATTAATACTATGCTTTGATTTGACCACTTATAACTATTTTCTAATTAAGTTGTATGTCAGCTAACACTGCTGGATGCGGAGAGAGGTGGGATGGCATACGTAACACGTGTCCTAGCCCTTTCAACTGATTCAGCTTTACAACCTCGTTCATTGGTTTCTTCTCCTTGCATAAAACTAATTGTGCAGTGGGTTCCTTTTGTAGCTTATAGACTCAAGTTGAAACTTAACTGTCACTTGAATATGTGGGTGTTGGGTTCCAGACTGATGGACGCTGTAAACACTAATTGAGAGAAGAGTACCTGTAGCTAGTTGTTTTAAAATAAACTGAAACTATGACCCACACATCACTGCTAGATGCCACTTAGTAAATTGTATAAAGATAGTTTAGTTTCTTTTCGGTATCAAACAGCATATGTCGATTTATGTCTTTTGAAACAAGTGATTTCAAATCCAGTTAGCTACATAATTAAATAGCATCGAAAAATAACTTATGTTTCTGATATAAAAGTGGTTAAAGCTTATCTAATTGCACACGGGTGAAAGTAGCAGAGGATATCTTTAATTCACGCTGTTATCAACTTACCAGCGAGCCAGCCATATATCCCATGCAACGTAGACACAAACGGCTAGAATAAACAGAAAAGCAACGCAGAAGGTCCCACAAAATCCTCCTCCTAATCGTGCCAACATACAGTAATGTCTCCATCCGACTACCCTGTTTTCAGATGTAGCTTTTTCTTCACCCTTTGTTACTTTTGATTTTTCACTATCAAGCAACCTTGCCTTTTCTTCATTCAAGTGATCGTATTCACTATTTGTTCGATTATTTGAATTGTTGCCTTTTGTCTCCGATTCTGTCTGAAAATTTTAAACCGGAAAAAGGGTTAAGTTAACCAGTTGAAAGGTAAAAACCACAATATTTAAAGGCAACTATTTTATTCAAATGATATAGGGTGACACATAAACGTAGTGACAACAGTATTTCGAAGACATATATATCAACGTCAGCCTTAAAGATTTTTATATAATTAGAAAATCGGCTTGATGTAGAATATTATTCATGTGACGAGTAAAATTTATTATACCAAAGTCATGAAGAAACTTAAAAATACCTTGATTGAAGTTAAATGGTGCTTCTTAGATTAACGTTAAGACTCATACTGATTTAGTGTTTGCTCATGAGATTTGTTTGCAATGTGCTATCTGCAGATAAAATTGCACTGAACTTGTACTCATTAACACCTTTCTCAGTTATATTGAGGATCAGAACACCATTTTTATTCCTAATCTCTTCGTTTTTCATCTTATATTACTCAGGAAAATTTGTTATTCTTTGTCATGATTGCACTCTCAAACCGATATATCTGAAGAAGTGATCAGGTGTGTGACTATACATACACAAAGTACTTCTATGATACACTAAATGTGTCAAATAGAAACTATTAACTTAATAAAATGTCCTATAAACAACATATATATTGAAAACAATTATATATATTTATTTATATACATACGAGATCTTTATCTGAAAGAATGTGATTTCCACTTGGCAGAATATACCATGCGATCAATCGCCTATGTGACATCGCTTCTTAGACTACATGTATTAAGTTCTGAATATCTACAACTTGAAATGATAGAAAACTGAAGAGTGATAAGATTTCATGTCTTTTGAATAACGTTCTTAAATCCTCTCTGTAAGTTGAACCTTATTTTATTGAAACAAATGCTTACTTCGTTAGGTTAGAAGAAGGTTAGACAACTCAGACTGCCTGAAGAACCATAAAAGAAAACCATAAACGTAACTAATTGATAAATGAGTTTTGTAAATACTACAAACGAGGCTATATTGACTTTTATGCATAAATTTTCTTCTCTCCAGGTGGGTTGTAGACATGACAAAAGCCAGTTATTGATGCCTTTTTGACTCCTATTAAAGAAGAGAATGTCTTATGAGAGCGTTTGTCAGACAAAGCATGAGAATGTTTTCGAATGAAGGATGACAGGGATTGTAAAAGACTTCCTTCAAAAATTTCCAGCTGTGTCATGCTGTCAGCGGGTTATTCCATGTTTTTATGTGTTCTCTTAGCCAGATAGTTCCATTACAATGCTTCTCTTTTTCATTCAAGCAATATCTTCAGATCTTGTCTCCCAGTGAAGTTTAACTGATGTTCTTAGGATTTTACCATATTTAAGCAACACACAAAAAACTTGGAGGATATGGACTTCACCGATGATAAATGTCTGATTTGCCACAAACTGGAAGATATGCAAGTGAAAAGCAACAAGTTGACAGGAGAAGCATCCAGAGAAGATAGGACTTCAGGTGAACATGGAGAGAACAGAGGCGATGAAGATTCCTGGCCAACAACAACAGCAACAACAACAACAACAGACAACAATCAGCCAGCATAAATGGGAGGAACCTGAAAGAAACAACCTCCTTTACCCAACCACCTGGGAAGCATCGTTTCAACTACAGGCGGAACTGATTAGGATATCAAAGCGAGGATCAGCGAAGCAAGACAAGCTTTCATTACTCTCAAGTCTGTGTGGAGGTCAACAGCACTCAGAATCAAAAATAAGATCCGGATTTTCAACTCCAATGTGAAGTCAGTGCTACTTAATAAACGGATCAGAGACTTGGCGCGTCATAAAGAGCATCTCAAACAAACTACAGACCTTCATCAACAGCTGTCTTGGCTCAATGCTCAAGATCAGATGGCCAGGAAATATCAGTAAAAGGGATCTCTAGAAGCAAACCAATCAGAAACCGATTGTGAAACAAATAAGCAGGAAGAAATGGAGATGGATTGGCCATACGCTGAGAAGAGAAACCATCAAGTGACATCTTTAGACAAGCCATTACTCGGATGGAACCCGAAAGGAAACCGGCGAGGTGGTCATCAGTGCGAGGGTGACTTGGAGGAGGTCATGTGAAAAGGAGATGAAAGCATGTGGACAGACTTGGAGTAGGGTGAAAAAGTTGGCAGAAAATCGAACGCAATGGAGACGCGCGGCTGAAGCCCTATGTTCCTCTAGAAAATAAAGGAAATGATAATATATGAGCAACACAAACCTGTATAATATAGAATGATGAGTTAAGTGGTAGCGTAAGAGAAAGCTTGGCGCTGTAATGAAGGCTTCGTAATAATACCACCTAGTTTAGATAGCACAATGACACTAAAAATATCTGCCAGAGCTGTAAATCTTCTGTATAGTGACTGTAGGGTCACTACACCTCATGAAATTCTGCTATATTTGTGTTTTTCTAATATATTATTATTATTATTTTTGTATCCTTTAGTTCCTAGAGGAACATAGGGCTTCAGCTGCGCGCCTCCATTGACTTCGGTTTTCTGACAACTTTTTCAACCTGCTCCAGGTCTGTCCACATGCTTTCATCTCCTCCTCGCATGACCTCCTCCAAGTCACCCTTGGACGATATATAATATATATATATAATATATATAAAACGAAATCCTCGTCAATATATTGTCTCATGTGGTAGTCTGCCAAGGTCTTTATTCCTTGTCACCAACTGGAAGTATTGCTCGAAGTTTGCAATATCCAGTGCTGTAGTTTCTATCCTCTTTGCGAAGGCAAGTTAGAAGATGACTGTTCAACTTTTCAGTAGTTGATTTGACTGAAACAGATCATGAAAGGGAGACATAGGAGACTCCCACATACACGCATTACCTGAAGATATGCAACGTAATATGATGAAACCTAGGGATTTACGCAGATAGAACTCAGTTTACTGCAACTATATGAACCTTAAATATTCTGTTGCTAGACAGTAAGATAATGCAACATCATTTTCGACTATGAGTGGAAATGTCTAGCATGTTAAGAAGATTTTTGTTAAAAATGCAGCTGGGAGTTCCAGGATATTCATGCACTCTCTACTAGGATATCTTACAACACATGGTTCTTCTTTGGTGATATTTTTATCCACTCCAGACCGACATAGAAAGTGGGAAATTGCCTCAAATTTCTTGTTGAACGTTTACTAAAAATATCTATCACTAGCATTTAGAAGGATAATGAAAACTTTGAGACCCATCCACCCGGCTGACAGAACACAAACACTTCAGAAACATCTACCTGAGGTGAAAATTGTCTCCATTATTTGAAAATGTCATTTTTAATCACTCCATGCCATAAAATTAAAGTCAAGCGGTATTAAAATCTGTATGAATCATCATTCTTTGGAATTATTCTCAAGTCGATTTAATTCTAAGGGTCTGCATTGGTCACTTAATACAAAATGAACGTTAAATTAATGAATATCACTGGTCTAGTGGGATAAACCTGGTATTTTCATTTCGAAATATCAAGAAGTTTTAATTAAATTTATACATGCATAGTTTACTAGAAAATATCAGTTAATTCAGAGTATTTACTTACACAAGATACTTCTTTTCCCCTTTGCTGCGATGCAGAATCACTAGATGCTATTAAATGATTCCGATTCAGACTTTCTTCATTCAATGGTATCTTAGAATCAGTTTTCCTTTCATTGTTATTACTATCAAACTTCATTAATGTATTACTGTGTTCATCTTCTTTGGATTTCTGATTAGTGATTAAAGGTGGAGTGCTGTTGTTATTAATCGATTCACTTATATCCATTGTATTGGCTTTGATATCCTCTGCTTTTGCTGAAGAATGCAAATTGTGAAAATCTAGTCCTTTTTCACACAATTCTGAATAATTGCCAGAGCCATAAATCGTACCCTATAACAGCAATATATGTTAAAACAATCGATATTATTTATATCAAAAAGCTTATGAAAAGTTAGACTGCATTTTATTGGTAATAATTTACTACTAATAAACTGGGTTTCAGTAGACAGAGTCAGCAAATTATTCGTTATTTTTTTAGATGTTAGTTAACAAAATCCTACTGACTGAATGATAAATTCGGAGCACGAATAAATCTTCCAAAATGGCACATGTACTAGCGATTGTCACTTGACGAGTTACATAAGAGGATAGAAGAGATTTACCAATTATTTCAAAAAAACTAAGAAATAGTCCACTTCTACTGTAGTCTTACCCCTACTGTCAACAGAATCATCTTCAGGAATTCCCTAGTAATTGTTTAACGTAAAGGTAGCCATAGAATTTCGAATGCAGTTAGTCCTCATAAACCCGTTTTCAAACCAAGCTTGCTATATGTGTTTGATGGCAGTTGTCGTGACAGGTTAAAATAATTTCCTACATTCAGTGAAAATCACAAATAACTGTACAGCTATTCCCGCAAACATGGAATATAAATATCCCTGACTAAATTCAAAATCTCAAAATCATCAAATCAGTTTTCTCTCAATAAGTTGGGATTTCAATAGTTGGTTTGCAAGGATTAGATTTGTTTTGACGAGCTGATCATGGATTGATATCAGTTAAGGAACCATTGAAAACCAGAGAGTACTGGACAGCTGTTTCATCCTATTTTGGGAATCATCGGCATGGTATATGAGCTTGCTTCGTAACCGGAGGGTCCTCGATTCGAACCCCAGTTGGTGCGTACTGCCGATGACTCCCAAACTAGGATGAAACAGCTGTCCAGTATTTTCTGGCTTTTAATGCTTCTCTAACTGATATCAATCCATAAATAACTCGTCAAAATAAATTGGAGCCCAAATAATAATAGTTAAGTAGTTTTATGACAGTAAACAAAAATGATGCAGTGACTTTGGTAGTCACTTACAACCTATCCTAAATATTATGAATAACTGTGAGTTAAGACTTATGACTGAAATTCTGAGGTTCTTACCCCGAAATCACCTAACACTATGGGATACATTAGTTTATTTCCTTGAATTTTTTTGCTTGAAGTTAGATGACTTTATGATTGACTTCAGAAACAAAATCAGGGAAGTCTATAGGACACGTTACTTAGTTTAAAACGTTTGTCAGTTTAAACCCAAATCCTTCAGATCCCATTCTATAGTTCAGCACGTGAGATGGTCAAAGTTGGTATTAAAGATTCAGTCTTAGTCTCTCTATTGTTTATGGCAATCGTTATGTAGTGCCTTAAGTATGTATCCATTTTTAAACTGACATTAAACAATAGTCTTAATAGTTTCAATGAAAACTTGACAAATATAATAATCAAACTCATTGTCTCTATATTATGAGTTGTTTTTCATTCTTAAAAATAAATAATGGAAGCGTTTAATAAAAATTTACCTCCTTTAAAAATACAATACTTCCAACCTTAGGCAAAAAGTGAACTTGATGAGTTGCCAATAATCTCAGTCTATTCGACATGAATCCATTTATACATTCTTCAAATATATGATTTGCCACGTGTACATCTACAGCTGATAAGGGATCATCGAGCAATACAAACGGTACACGAGAATAAGCAATACGTGCTAAGCCAATGCGAGCTTTTTGTCCACCACTTAAATTTACTCCACGTTCATCTACATGCGTATTATCACCACGAGGTAATTGAGTCATATCCTGATAGTAGAAGAAAATAAAAAGTTTAAAAGTTTTGTTCATATATAAAACTTAGAGAATAAGATATCATAGACTAAATACTCTAAAATTAAATATAAAAAAGTTACAAAAATAATGTAACAGTCTTTCAAAGATGTAGTATTTATGCAGATAAGAACTAGTTGGGGTTGAACAACTCAGTACACATTACTGCACAATATTATGTGAGAACTGATGGTTTATTATGTTTTGAAATAACTATAAGTTGTAGCCCTCCACGCGAGTATTTATGACAATGGTAGGTCACCTGACTGCAAGCAGATAAGCTGTTACCAACGCGTTGTGTCAAAATATGCATAACAATCAACATAAGATTCATAATTATGCTTTATATATTCATAGACAGCTATTTAAAATGCTTATTTCGACTGTTTTATGGATCAAATGGTAAATATAATTGTGTGCTACCTTTCTGTCTGTGCGTCGGTGGCACAGTGGTTAGGACTCTCGCCGACCATGCATATGGTCCGGGGTTCGATCCTCAGCCGACGCACACCTGATATCTATGGTCGGCCTGCAAAATTTGGGCTACCGATATCACATGCTGAAAATTCCATACTTGTACCAAAAATGCAGTGTGGAATCAAGCTGTAATCAAAAAGAAAACTAAACCCATTTTTTCTGATTTCAAATTGTTAGTCAACATATCAAAATGTTTAAGCCAAGTACCTTATGCCTTTTTCCATGAATTAAGACATTAATAATCATTTCAGGATCCCATTAATAAAATTAATACGACTACATGGACCCTTAGGAATCTCTAAAATAGTATATCAAAAACACGAATATTGAAATATTCTTCATTTAAACTCACCATTTAAGTAAGGAAAGCATTTTGACAGAAAATAGATGATGTTTTCTTGCAGGTGGATAGCAGTGAAATCAACCTTACTTGAAACCTGTCAACTGGATATACCTCAGTTTACAGTGAGTGATGGTTTTCCAACTTAAGTTGGACCACCACTTATTTTTTTCACTAGGTCACTTGGCTAAGGTGTCCACCTCTTGTGCTACGGGTATTAGGTGAAATAATGGAGAAGATTTATAGCCCAGTTGGATAATAGTGAATTAGTTATGTTCTCTGAGCTGGCTGATTTAACTGCGAAGCCTTCATCGTTCTTCTAGACAACATCTTTAGCGCAGGACGACGAAAGCCTCGCAATTAAATCATTCAGATCAGAAAACACAACTAATTCAATAGGCGTACTAGATATTGCTTGTTGGAATTATTAATTTGAATTTCATGTTAATTTATTTTATTGGACCAAAATTCCACTATCATTTGAAAAACATTATGTTAACCCTAGGGCGTTATCGAAACGTCCATACTGGGAGCTGAGCATTTGGATGCAATGAGATCATCTTGACAAGCATAAATGTAAAACTATGCAATCGAATTTAAGCCACTGATAACAGTCTCATTTTTCTAAACACCAAAGTGATAATTTCATTAGGTTCGTCCACATTGTCAGTTCTTAATCATAAACATTGACTCAATGAATTATCGTTCAGTAATAAAAATAAACTTTTAGCGTTTCCTATCTTTTCTGATTTAAAAATTCAAGAATATCATGGAAACAACATTGATAACGCTTGTCTCCATTGAGTTCTACTTAGTTGCATTGGTGATAAACATTTAGCATTTATTCATACATTCTTGATAAATTCAGGTAAATTAGCTCAAATTTATATGATAACTGTAACGACCAACCTACAAAATAGCGACCATGCAGTGAGAACTCACCGACGACTCTGAGCTTATACTATTTGTTGGATTACGGAATCTGCGGTTATTACAGTGCCAGTATGAACTATGTGCACGAACCGATGGACGAATTTCATCTCTTATCTCGTTTTCAAGTACTGTTTAAACAATGGGTTGATAGCATGTTATGATTAGTATCAGTATTACACTGTACGTCGGTGGCGCAGAGGTACTATGCTCACCAACCACGCAAGTGGTGTCGGGTTCGATTCCCGGCCGAAGCACTCCCAAACCTCTCTCAGCTGGTAATAAGCCTGAAAAAGAGGGAAGGTTGGGCGTGAGACTAGCAATCCCACCCAGTTAAAATAAAATCATGGCTATCGAAACTTCAGAGCTCTAGCTTAAAGCCCTGTGTTCCACTGGGAATGCAAAGGAATAAAATAATTTAGTATTAGGTTTCTGGTTAGAATTGGGCTAAGGGTTAGCGTGTTTTACTATTTTTATCTGCATTTTTCTCGTGAATAAATAAATCGGAAGAGAACGTCTCGTTCATATAGATGGAACCATTGTAATACCCATGAAACTTGAAAAATGATAACTTTCATTATAATTGGAAACTATTTTTCAGCCACATCAGGGTAAAATATCGTCTTTAATGTGTTCCATTATCAGTACATTAATTTTCCTCTCAAATAAACGACTTTTTGATATATATATATATATATATATATATATATATATAATGCACGGCAGTTTCTGTAATCCAACGGATGGTAGGTTTCCAATGCCATTGGTGCGTTCACACTGCGTGGCCGGTATTCTTTATGTTCATCCCACTAACAGTAGCTTTATATAAAAGAAAATATAAATCCGTATGTATAACTTACAACATCCAGAGCTGTCACTCTTAGAACAGTTTCATAACGCTCAGCTTCATAGGGTAGTCCACACAAAATATTATCCCTGATTGAACCTGGTAATATCCATGCTGTTCCAGGAAGATAAGCAATATCTGATGACCGCCGTATAAGTCCACTTGTTATGGACAACTCACCTAATACTGCTTGTAGAAATGATGACTTAATTTGGTGATTTGAAGAGAAAAAAATGCACAAACAGACTTAGTTAGCTGATTTTAAAATACAACCAAGTTAGAATACGGAAACTAAACAAAAAAAATGCAGACTGTCTGGAAAATTTTTGATTACATGTTTTTTTCAGACGATAGATGGTCAATTTATCACGATTTAATCAACAGTTTATCCTTAAGATGTTACCATGGTTGTTTTTTTTGAGTCATGAGTTGTCCAGTTTTACATTATGTGTAGAGCTATGTAACACAAAACCCCTAAGAATTTACTACATAAACAATACAAATCAATGAAATTACAGGAGGGCTGGAATTCCAAATGAGAAACAACCATTAATTATCGTTTCTGATAGAGATAACAGAAGTGAATAACTACGACTTAAATTGACGAGATATCCTTTCGGGATATTATTACAAGATGGAATTATATCAATAACTAAATTTAACAAATGGGATATTCAAGGACAGAGGAATCCGAAGTAAACAGCAGACAGCCTTTCCTAATTTAAAGTTTATCACATAAACGTAGTGGTCACAAAACTCTCCATTAGATTTGCTAGTTTACAACGATGTATGGCAATGCTTTTGCTATGGGTATTAAATGGATGTGTGAAGTAGGTCATACATAGTGAATAAGTTTAGGACACTTACCTGTGCTTATGATGACTATCACCTACCAAATACAAATGATTCAAGTTTGAACACGAGCTGACATCAGTTAGAGGACCATTAAAAGTCAGAGATTAGTGGGCAGCTGTTTCGTCCTAGTTTTAGACTCCTTACAGTACACACCAACAACACAGCCACAGTTCGAACTCAAACCTGACAGCCACTAGGCAAGCTTGTAGACCGTCCAGCCACTGGAACCCGATTTAAAGGCCCATGAATTCCAAATTCTGCCAATACGTGATTTTAGCACGACTACCAGCCTATCAAAAGTGAATAATTGTCCTCACACCTGACTAGGCGAACTCCACTGGTCACGACCTCCCACAAGAACACCAGGTAACTTTGTCCTGTAGCCAGTCACAGCCAAACACCAGATTAACTTTCGAGAGTTAGTCGGCTCATGATCAAACTTGAAACAGATCAAATACCTACAAGCTAACTCTTGTAAATACACATGTATTGAAATTAGAATGTTTTTTTATAATATGACTCTTAGTGAGTTAAATAAATAGATCAGTGTTTCAACGAATTCCCTAACCCCATCTATCACGACTTACTACCAAGTGGAAAAACGAATCACACATTACTTAAATACCACTAGTTAAATAAAAGTTAGATCTAGATAATTTGGTAAACGGCAAACTGTACTATAGCTTAAAATTAAGTTTAGGTTAATTCTGAATTATTATTTTATTCATTTTTGGATACACTGTTATTCTGTCCTAATGACGAATCTTATGGATAATAATTACCACGACACAGGACTATTGAAAATAAGATTGATAATGAAAAACTATTTCATTAAGTCGGTTTGTACTCTCTCCCAGAGTCTAAATAAATATTTTCAAACAGATTAAATAAAGTAATTTGTAGTAATTATGAGCTTTAGTATCTTTCTTCATATACTTCTGCAGTTGGTTTGTAAGGGTTAGTTTTGTTTTCACGAGTTAATCAGGGATTGATATCAGTTAGAGAACTATGGAAAACCAGGGAGTACTGGACAGCTGTTTCATCCTAGTTTCGGAATCATCGGCAGTATGCACGCACTCCACTGAGGTCTGAACCCAGGACCTTCCGGTTACAAGGCAAGCTTGTATACCATTCAGCCACTGGGACCCGATTCAATGGCCAACACATGAATTCTAACTTCAACAATTTCGCAATTTAGCGCAACCCCAATCAATGTCGTCTGTAAGACATCCATTCTCACATATGACATCTGGATGTACCTCACTGGTTCCAGTGGCTGAACGGTTTACGAGCTCACCTTGTAACTGGAAGGTTCTGGGTTCAAACCCCAGTGGGTGCGTACTTCCGATGATTCCCAAAACTAGGATGAAACAGCTGTTCAGTGCTCCCTGGTTTTCAATGGTTCTGTGACTGACATCAGTCCGTGATCAACTAGTAAAAACATACTTCTGCCCCTAATATCTTTTCACCAGTATATTTAGAAGATTTCTACCTACGATCTTTGTCCAAGCCTTATCTGAGTTCAGCAGATTACAAATAAATGAGCATTATTCTAATCAAAATGTTCTGCTAATCAGTATAAACACAATATCGTGCTAGAATACCAGACCAAACGACACGGACAATGGACCTAATGGGCTTACTACCACACGTAAAAGTGAACCATAAATTCCTCAGACAGATGGCTAAAATAAAATAAATAACGATGAGTTCAACACAAACACATGAGAGACAGGTTATATCCTTATGTCAATGAGACACTTTATACAGATGTGAAAAATGTTTGTAAAAATAAAATTTAATGGACGTTGCATTCGTAGACCATTAAGCCACTGGGACCCGATCCAATGGCCAGTGCATAAATTCTAACACCTACCAATTCATGAGATAGCTCGACCACCTCGTAGTGTCCTCTTTGATAAGTCACTATCCTCACCTTCAACCTGCTGTACCCTACTGATCCAGGCTCCCAGCTAGAACCCGAGGTCAATTCCCTGAGTAGGGTCAGTTGCTAGTGAGTGCACCGATGAAGAGTCCCAAAATGGGACGCAATGGATGTCCAGTACTCCCATGCTTTCTCTCTCTCTCTCTGGTTCTCTAATTGATGACAACTCATGACGAAATCCTCCAACCAATCAAACAAACTTCCTACAAAACAAATACTTGAGGATCGTTGAACTGTTTTCCTCATGCTAAACATTTCCTATCCCATGTATTAATCCGTCGGCCTCCATTCGATTACCTATATAAGTATGCTATAAAAAACAAATAGATATCTTCATGATAAATTCTTGCACTGATATATGCAGATGAAAGTAAATTCGTTGATAGACTGAAAAATAAAAGGTATTCCAGTTTTCTTAATATATTTTTATGAATCTTAAAACAAAACGCTTTCAGCTTACATGTTCACTTTTAGTAAATTCGTCTAGCGAATGTTTTAGTTTTGTATTTAGTTTCATAAATTCTATGAAAGAGAGCATTCGTATTTCTAAAGGTGTAGATATGTCTAACTTATGCGTGACAGTAATTATGAAACGCCAATTAGGAACTTCTTAAGGAAATACTTTCAACAACCCATCAAGACTGTTCAAAATATATCTCAATCACAATTTTGACTATTTGACAATCATAAATGATCTCAGAAGAAAATACCCCTTCTGACCTACACTAAACTTTGTTTTGTCTCATAGACGGCAAATTTGTAATTTCTTAAATCCCAGAGACACTTTGGTTATATCTTAATCAAGATATTTCTATTCCACCATCTATAGCTGAACTTCAGCAGATTCTGTCTATCTGTCTATCGATTACCAGTTCTATTATTATTATTGCTCCCTTGGGTTCCTAGTGGAATATAGGTGATGACTTCAACTGCACGTCTCCACTTGCTTCTGTCTTCCTTCTGCCGTACTTTTCACCTGCATCCATGTTAGTCCATACTATTTCAACTCCTCTTCACACAATCTCCTCCATGTCACCCTTGCACTGACGACAAACTCGCCACTTCCCTTTCGGGCTCCACTTGACCAATGGCCTGACGCGCGATGTAGCCCAGCGGCCTCCTCAACGAGTGTCCAATCCCTCTCTACTTTCTCCTGCATATTTGTTGGTTGGTGACTGGTTCTTGTTTTGTTTGTTCCTAGCCATAGTTTCTTGTTGGTGATTCTTTCCGACACGGCTATCTGATCTTCAGTATAGAGCGATGGTTGACAGTTGTCGGTTGATAAAGGTCTGAAACAGGCTGTTGGAAATATTCTTTGTGACCCGCCAAGTTTCTGATCCGTATAGAAGAACTAACTGACTTGACGTTTGTATTGAAGATCGGAATTTCGTTGTTGATGCTGGCTGAGTGACGAAGATTTCCAGATTGGTTTTAGTTTTACTCCTATTAGATTAATGCAACCTAGCAAATTTAGTATCTCAGTTTTCAGAATAGATTAAATATCATCAGTACAACAAAAGATAGTAAAGAGACACTTGAAAGTATGAATTTTCACATACTGCTTATCATTTAAATAATCGTATAGGCTCTTGCATATGATGCCAAAAATTCAGTGCATGACGAAGAATACCGCGAGTGATAGCATAAAATAATCTCTGTCGCATTTCACTAAATCAGTTATCAGCAAGATAGTCAGATTAACATAAAGTATGCAAAATAACCTCAAATCACCTGACAGTTAATAATTTAAAGCTAAAGCATTTATTAAGACATGTGAGTCTAATTTAATATGTAAAGATAATTATTACTGATTAGGTGTTGCAGTTTTAATCAACCTCAACTTATATATATATATATGGTGATTATTAAATTTACTATCAACAGAATTTAAAAAATACACAGTATGAACAACTACTTCAGTTTATAAGAAATGTGATCAAGATTTAACCGAATAGTACCAAAACAATTGGCGCAGAGTGAGAAGTGGATATTTGTGAACATTGTATTTGTAAGATCTCAGCGAAATTTAAATGATTAATTCCAACAACTCCTAGGTGCGACAAACTAATCTGAACTTCTTCAGGGAAATTAATCAAGATTAACATAACAGAGGTTTACATTATATAATAAGGACATCTCTTATTTTTTTAGAACTTTGTCAAACCATATGATTCATGAAACAGGCATCAAAATATAACAAACAAATAAATTATATGAGTTGTGAACAAAATTTAACCTGAGACTTACAAAAATTAGTATATTTTAATTGGACTTTTAGATTTTTCCGTCCATTGATTGGACCGAAGTGCTCGGTCTCAGGTTGACATGTCGGTTTCTTGTCCAGATGCTTCGACAATGTCTGGGAACTTAATTAAAATTTTATTTGTGGATGATAACTGGCAGTG